TAAATCTAAGTCGGATCATATTTTTACACCAAATGGTTGAATGTCACCGAAAAAATAAAATCGTGCCTCCTGTGAAATTGGAAAAATTAAGATACGACAGTACGTGAGATAGGGGAGGAAATGAAAGAAGCTTTGATTCCAGAAACGGCCTTTATAACACCTCTATAAATATTTGAGCGTTCCTTTTGGTTTTTGTAATGCTCCTGCGGTTTTCCAGAGAACTATAAATAAGTGTTACGACCTCTATGGCAAAGCTTTATCCTATATGGACGATGTATTATTCCCTGCAATTGATTTTGACGTTCGCGCTTTCAATTTAAGGGAAGTTCTGGAATGTTTTAGGAAAGCCAATCTTACCCTGAGGTTATCCGAATGCCAGTTTTTTATAGAAAAGGTGGAATACTGGGGTCACGAAGTCAGCAGAGAAGGAGTACAGTCAGGCCTTAAAAAGACAGAAGCAAGTTTGTATTGCCCACAGGCGCTCGTGGTGTAAGACAGTTCTTGGGATTGGCTAGTTTCTTTCGGAAGTATGTACAGTTGCGATCAAAAAAAAGTAGTACAAAAATTATTAACCCCAATTTGAGCTCCCGGTGTAACATACAAAATTTTGACAGGCAATGACATATTCTAGGTTAAAAACAGGTAGAAAAATGTCAAAATAATGGGTGTCATTTGCGCGACAGCCGTTTGCGCGAGGGAAAAAAGCGCGACGGAACAAAAACGCGACAGGACAAAAGCGCGATTGACAAAAACCCGACTGGATAAAAGCGCGAGGAACAAAATCGCGAGAGACAAATGCGCGACGTAACAAAAACGCGACTGGAATATAGCGCGATGGGCAAAAACGCGACTGGATAAAAGCGCGAGAAACGAAAGCGCGACGGAACAAAAATGCAAATGAATAATAACCCGGTTAGTTTTCAATTTTAATCGAACATTTACAAATTTACCCATAATTACCCGGAGTTCACAATTTTAATCAGACATTACCAAACTTGCCAGTAATAGACGGGTTGGTTTGTAGTTTTAATCAGACAGTACCAAACTTACCGATAATAACCCGGTTAGTTGGCAATTTTAATTAGGCATTGCCAAACTTACCGATAATAACCCGGTTAGTTTGGATTAGTTTGTAATTTTAACCAGACATTACCAAACCCACCGATAATAATCCGGCAGGGATTAAGGGGTGACCAAAGTTGAGTCGCGTGGGTTATTATCGGGAAATGTCTGAATAAAACCGGCAAAGTAACCGGGTTATTATAGGTAAGTTTAAAAATGTCTGATTAAGATTGAAAACTAACCGGGTTAGTATCGGTAAGTTTGGAAATGTCTGATTAAAGTTGCAAACTAACCGTTTATTTATTGGTAAGTTTGTAAATGTCTGATAAAAATTGCAAATTGACCGAGTTACTATCGGTAAGTTTGATATTGTCTTTAAGCCCATTTGCATTTTTGTCCCTCGAGTTTTTGTCCCTCGCGTTTTTATCCAGTCGCGCTTCTGTTCCTCGCTTTTTTTTCGCATCGCGCTTTTGTTCCTCGTACTTTTGTTCCTCGCGCTTTTGTCCAGTCGCGATTTTGTCCATCGCATTTTATTCCAGTCGCGTTTTTGTTCCGTCACGCTTTTGTCCTTCGCGTTTTTGTCCATCGCGCTTTCGTCCAGTCGCGTTTTTGTTCCGTCGCGTTTTTGTCCGTCGCGCTTTTCTCCCTCGCGCAAACGTCTGTCGCGCAAATTACACAGAGCCAAAATACTGTCATCTGAAGCTTTCTAGGTTAAAAACTTGTCGAAAAATGCCAAAAATATGTTATTTTTGGCTATGAATTAAATTAATTTATAATAGGCCAGGAGATTTTGGAGATTTTTCTTGTACTACTTTTTTTTGATCGCAACTGTACATGGTTTCGCTACGATCGCAACACCGTTGACAGTGTTCACACAAAAAGACGTAAAACCAGTTATGTATCACTCTAAAAAGCAGACTTCAAAAGAAGAACAATCCGAAGTGGAATTTGATGTTAGAGAGAATGGGGTTCTATTAGTAAGACAGTAGAGGTTTGGAAATGACCATAACATAAGTACTGTCAATTTCAAATTTCTACGTATTTGTTTTATTAATTTATCTAGCCTATAGTTTAAGCAATTAGGGACACTAACACAAAAGTCAGTTGTTAGGCATGTACATTTCAAACTCAATTTTCCCAAAAAATATTAGCCTGAAAATACTTTCCAATACTGGTTATCTAGAGCTTAATAGGAGATACAACTCTTCAAAACTTTGATTCAATATCACTCAGTATAGCCAATATTTTAGCTTTGGACTGCAATAGTAGGATAAACGTAGCTGCATAACATAGGTGGGGGTGCAAAAAATTAGCAACAAGCTGATTTCAGCGAAAATGTTTAGTAACTGGCCTCCTATTTAACCTCCCAAAACTCCCAATCAATCCTAGGGGTGGAAGGTTAAAAAAAAATGGCCGCCATCTTGAATTTTTTTGTTTTTTTCACATATCTCAATTTCTATTAGTTTTTTCAAGAAAACTCAAGAAACCTTTTTTGTGAAGAATTTAATTCTCTATAAAAAGTGTCTCTACGTTTTTTTTGTAACATGCAGGATAACGGAGATATAGTTTTTTTTTAGAATTTGATTTATAAATTTTTCACTTTGAGCGCAACAAAACCCTCATGGGTGACATACCCAGTTATCCGCCAACCAACAGAATAATAAAATAATAAATTTATCTTGCAGATAGTTACCAGCAAGTTTATCTGAAGATGAATAAACCGTGCCTAAGCCAAATAAACATTCTGTATTAAATTTTATTCCTACCATAATCAATCCTGATATGGATCTACCTGTGATAAGGCCTGCTTCCAAAAGGAGGACAAAAATTAGCTTTTTTGCTAACCATGTGACATTTGTCGTAAGATTCTATGCAGAAATTGCTCTGGAGTAAGGAGCTCTGAGATCCGAGTTCTCATAATGAAAGAACGCTGCCTAAAATATTTTTGGATTGTTTCCAAGAACTGCCGGGTTTGAGCTGAAGACTTCACGAATTCGAAGCAGAGATGGAAAGGCTCAAAACTGACCAAAGAGTTGTGCTATCCGATCAAAATTGTGTGTTATGGAGGATGATGTAACAAAATTAGATAGAGGGTTTTCTCCTATTCCTGTCAATGGCTAGCTCACTATGTATGGTATTAAAAACGAAATGGGCTGGAAGGCACCTGCAAAGCCATTCTGGATTCTAATAAGGAACTTGTTGCATTCATGTCCAAGTCCTATACACGCCTGGCAAGTAAACATCTTGCATATCAATTTTAATGCGATAGAATGAAATGTCTAAAAAAAGTCTTAGGTTGAATAGAGAATGAAAACGATTTCCCCTGTTCCACCTCTAGTATTCCCAGCGCTTTTTGCTGGAGGTGGAACAGAGGAAATCGTTTTCGCTCTCTATTTAACCTTAGACTTTTTCTAAACATTTCGAAAGGGATAAAAGTAAAGAAATGTTTGAAATATTTACTATAAAAAGCTCTGTATCTCCGTTATCCTTTATGTTACCAAAAAAAGGTATTAACACTTTTTATAGAGAATTAAATTCTCCACAAAAAAGGTTTCTTGAGTTTTCTTGAAAAAAACTAATAGAAACTGAGATATTTAAAAAAAAAACAACAAAATTCAAGATGGCGGCCATTTTTTTCAACCTTCCACCCCTAGGACTGAATGGGACTTTTGGGAGGTTAAATAAGAGATCACTTACTAAACATTCCCGCTGGAATCAGCTTGTTGCTAATTTGTTGCAGCCTGACCACCCAGATTGACACAGCTACAATAAAACAAGACTTTAAGGGAAGTTGAGGCGTGTCCAAATGGGTTATCACCAGTTTAGAATCAAAATTCTCAAAAATGTTGGGAACATCAAATTTATCATGTGAGTAGTTTTTAAATAATAAAATTCCTTGAATAAAATAATAATTCAAAAAAGAAAGCCAAAATTGACAACATTAAATTAGAAACCACCAATAGAAACAAAATAGTGCGGTCATAACAACATTCCTTCAAAAGAAATCAAATGAAAGGTTAATTTATGCACATGACAGTGAAATTGACCCAAACCCATTTCGGTAGACAATGCAATGCTCTGTTATTAGTTATTATTTTTAGAATATCATACCTATAAATTACAATTATTATTATTAAATGTTCCATATAAACGAAACAATAATTAAAATAATAACATATTTTGATAGACAAGTTTCTCATTGTTATTAAAATAACCACCAACATCCTACATGATTTATAATAAATCCTAATTATCCTCAACCAGTATGAAGATGTTTTCAAGGAAATAAAATTCAACAACAATAATTAATAGGTTAATTAGAATCCTGCGCCATCAAAACAATATTCTTGTCTTATAACGGTACCACAATTTGAGGACATGAACTCAAAAACGGACTAATTGTATAAGTAGGCGCTTTTATTGAAGCAGTTGTTGAGCATGTGATATGATTTTGGGCAAAAAAAAAAACTTACCATAAATTCGCGATTGCACATAACAATTATCCTCCGAGGAATTTCAATTACCGTGCGAACTCTGAAAAATTCACAATAAATCAATTGTTATACAACAAGGTTTGCTACGTCAGGCTTAATAGACTCACCCTGTGATTTTGTTTTCGAGTCAATTAAACCGAAATTGTTTAGTTTAATTTGAGGTATTCATTCAATTAAAATTAATTCTCACTTACCTGCCTTTATTCGTTTACAATAGTTTAACAAATCCATTAAACGTAAAACAACCAACTTGGAAAGATCAAAAACTAAACTGCGAATAATCGCGAAATTAAATTGAAAAATTACTCTCCTTAAAAGACGTCTTTTGTGGCGGGGCATTAAACAAATAATAGTCTATAGTTAGAAGATGCGCGCGACAATGCAATGAAGGTGAATTAAATTTTGCAAACTAATGTCACAGTGTTAAAGAAAAAAATATCTTACCTGTTCCCTTTGTTGAATACCTTTGAAATAGTTAATATCTTGGCCATTTATACTAATTTTTCCAGTTCCTGGAAACCTAATTGTTACATTGCCAATAGCTCTTTTGCGGCGACATTCTTAAAAAAAAAAAAATATATATATATTATGATATAAGTAAGTACATTAATATTACCATAAGTTGTCACAAATTGTCTCCCATCTGGCCCGATTTGCGGTTTAATAACGTCGAAAGCTTCCGAATTGCTCATCAAAGGTTTACGGTATTCCATGATGAAATCTTTGGCTTTGTGCGAATAGGGCAAACTGCATAATCGGTCCATTGCTTTGAGAAAATTGCTATATTCTCCATCGCTCACTGGTTCTACCAATTTCTGTTCCAAGGTGTTCTTATCCAGCCATTGAGAACCAGATAATTCTCTATAAATGGATTATTGTAGATGCAATATTTGTGGATTGGGTTACTTACAAGGCTAAGTTTGGATCGGGTTGAAGGTTTTTTCTTATCATGGTGTCCTCAAAGTTGTTTAGTTCATTTATTTTTTCTACTGTATCCTGAAATATTTAATTATTTATGTGTTTATTCATTAATTCATTTTATTTGAAAGTGCTGACATTAAAAGAGCCTGTCTTTATCATGGGAGACTTCAATTACCCTGAAATAACCTGGGACAAACTAGTAATTTATCCATACAACCAATGCAGTTATGACTTCCTGGAGAGTTACAAAAACCACAGAGAATACCAACATATTAATTTCCCAACAAGAATTAGGAATGCCCAGCAATCACTTCTAGACTTAATGAGAAGGAACTAATTTTCGATATTCACCAACATGCACCGCTGGGAAAAAAGTGACCATGTAGTATTTACAGCCACAACGCAATTTCAAGTTATAACTCAGCCAACTCACAAGGTTCACAAGAGACAGTTCTGGAAAGCTGACTATGATGCTGTCAACAACTCACTCCAGCAAAAGTTACATAAGGTAGCAAATCAAATAAATATTGACACCTTCTATGAAGCAATCAACATAAACATACCAATAAGACCTCAAAAAGTTAACAAGCAAAAACTGTAGCTGACTAAAGAAGTATTTAAAGAGATCCAGCTAAAAAGAAATCCCTGGCATAAATATAAAATATCCAAAACTGAAAATAACTATCAGAGGTATCAACAACAAAACTAAAGCGTGCATGGTGAGGGCAAGAAAAACTTATGAACATAATCTACTGACAAACGACAAACAATTCTATGCATACATAACTCGCACCCTCAACTCCAAGCATAAAAACTTTAACATAGTTGATAGGGCAACCCAACAACCATTTGAGACAAACCAAGAAATTGCAGAATGCTTTGCAGAGCAATTTGAAAGCGTATACACATTACAGAATCAGAACACAAATAAACCCACACTTCCCTTGGAAACCTACTCCAGGACTGAAATTACCAACATCATATTCACAGCAGAAAAAGTAGAAACCGCAATCACATCGCTAAAACCGAACTCTAGTCCAAGGCCTGATGAGATCACACCAGTTTTTCTCAAGAACTGTGTACAGGTGCTGAAGGAGCCTTTGTCTCACTTGCTTAACACCATAATGAGCACAGGAGATTTCCCTTTAGCCTGGAGTAACACCAATATACAAGAAAGGAAACAACCAGCATGCAGAAAATTATAGACCAATCAGTCTAACAAGTGCACTATGTAAATGCATGGAAAAAATAGTTGCCAAAAAACTCACTGATTTTCTACTTGAAAATGTTTTACCTGCTGAACAACATGGCTTTCTCTCAGGAAAATCAACATTAACAAACCTGCTAACCAGACTAAATGAGTGGACCCTGGCTGATGACAACCATGAACCAATTGATGTCATTTACCTTGATTTTGAAAAAGCATTCGACAAGGTGCCAACAGAATTTTTGCTTTATAAATTGGAACATTTTGGAGTTAGAGATAAACTTCTGAGGTTGTTGAAAGGCTTTCTCACTGTACGTACCTTCCAAGTACGTGTGGATTCCTCACTTTCAAAGGAGCACAAAGTACACAGCGGTGTTCCTCAGGGGTCAGTACTTGGCCTGCTGCTGTTTATAACTTACATAAGTGATCTCTATCAAGGGCTTCACACGAATAATGCGACATTTGCTGATGATGGAAACCTATACACAAATTCGCTGCTACATCAGGTTGAATTACAAATGGACCTTAACAACATTAAAGTTTGGACACATAAGTGGGGAATGATTACAAATGCACTGTCCTTCATATTGGTCAAAACAATTCCAATTTCAACTATTTCTTTGAACAAACGGAAATAACACCAGTAACGAAACAACGAGACTTAGGAGTCACTTTAATATATGACCTGAAATGGGATACACATATCACACAAATGTCCAAAAAGGCTAATTCAATAATCTACCTTATTCAGACAGCCTTTAAAGACTTATCAAAGGAAATGATCTTGAAACTTTACAAGTCGTATGTAAGAGCAAAACTTGAATATGCCCAAACGATCTGGAATCCATACTACATTAAAGACATAGAACAGATAGAGAGAGTTCAAAGAAGAATAACCAGATTACCGCAGGAACTTAAAAATCTGTCCTATGAGGAACGGCTCCTGAGTTTGAACCTCACAACTTTAAGAGACAGGAGAATCAGAGGTGATCTCATTGAAACACATAAAATACTCAAAGGTCACTATGCCTCTAACCTGAGAGACATCTTCCACCTGAGCCACAACATAAATCTGAGAGGACACGATCAAAAGCTTTCTAAAGACAGATGCAATAAGCTCCTGAGGAGCAATTTCCTTAACAATAGAGTTGTTTACAATTGGAACCGCCTGAGCGTTGACACCATAAACTCTACCTCCAAAAATCAGTTCAAGAATCGCCTCGACCAGGAAATGACAAGTCGGGCCACAACCTCCTTTGTGCACTACTGTCTATAGACCAGACAATCAGAACTAAGAATGCGATAGCTGTCTAAACAAATAAGGCAGTCTCATCGGTTTTTGTATAGATAGATAGATAGATAATGTGCTTTAATGTCATAAAAAACTATACAATTTGTTTTGTGGACAAAGCGAATTCACCCAAAACTAGTCACATACAAAATAAGGCTTGCTTATACTAAAATACATATCCTACACAAAAAACCTGGTTAAGATAGTCAAAAACTTAAAACAATTTAAAATTTACATAAAATTAACACTTTAAAAAACTTAAGATATCACAGATTAGTTGAAAAACGGGAAGTTCTTCTATCAACAAGCAAAACTGTAACCATTCTTTTAAACATTTTTAGATTCGGGGACATCTTAATTTTTTGAGGCAGATGGTTAAACATTTTTATGCCATTGTAGCAGATTGACTTGTGAACCAGAGTAGATTTCGGAATCGGAAGTTGCAAATCTCTCTGCTGAATAGATCTTGTGTTGTATCCACCCGACAGACGAAGAAAATCATTTTGATGCACATATATAAGAGAAAACAGATTCCAGAATATACAAAGATATGACCGTTAGAATCTTTTTAAACACAAACAAAGGCCTGCATGACTACTACCTACTACCTACTACCTACTACCCCTTAAGGTTTGTCGGTGTCTTTTTGGGACACCCTGTATAAGAGCTTGACTGGATTTGTGAATGACATTTTGAGTAGCAGTTTTTGGTTTTTTAATGTTTTTATCTTGATTGTCTTTGTTAGTTTTTAGTATTTTAACATGTAACGTTTCAGTGTCTCCTCATAATGTTTTTGTATTATTTTTGTATTATTTCCATTTTAGCTTTGTAAATAAGGGTCTTAAGGCCTTTTTGTACAATAAAGCATTTTTTGATTTGATTTGATAAAAAAATGACTCCCTAAATTTGGCATGACACAAATACCGTATTGCCCGCTTTTGCAAAGCAAAAATTATTTGAAGTAGTTGGTTGTTGGTAGAACCCCAGAAGGCAATACCATGCATAACGTAGGTGCGACTCTATCAAAGCATGATAAATCGTCTTTCCAAAAGCGAATCAGAGTTCGTTAACTGTTGTTTTCACTGCATAACAACCAGACGCAATTTTTTTACTCAATATACTAATATGATCCTCAAATTTCAAGCCAGAGTCGATTGTCAAGCCCAAGAATTTGCTGTGATTACGCTCTGTCAGAGAATCACCCCCCACCCTAAGGTCATCTATACTGCATCTAAAACAAACTATATTGGTTTTATCGACGTTTAAAGTTAACAGATTTGAATCAAACCACTCTTTAAGAAGATCCAAATCCCCTGAAATCATGGTTCTTAAAGTGTCAACATCACTACAAGACCACAGAATCGTAGTGTCATCAGCGAAAATGGTGAACTTTCTTTGTATATTGAGCCTGGCAAGATCATTAAAAAATATCAGAAAAAGGAGAGGACCCAAGTGGTACACCCCATTCAATGTTTCCAGGTTTTGATGGCTGATCATTAATAATTACTCGCTGTGTCCTTCCTTGTAAGTATGACTCGAACCATGATAAAACCACCCCCCTAAACCAATAATGGTACAGTTTCTTCATAAGAATAGAATAATTTACACAATCGAAGGCCTTAGCCAGATCGCAAAAAACCGCGGCCGATACATTTGACTTATTTAAAAAGGAAAAGAGTTGTGAAAGCAGATTGAACATAGCATTATTAGTACCTGTATTGGTGCGAAAGCCAAATTGTGCATTGCTCAATAATTTATTGCACTCAAGATATGACATGATTCGAGTTTTTGTTAGTTTTTCAATTAATTTAGACAAGGTAGACAACATTGAAATGGGCCTAAAACTAGCAGGGTCAGATTCAATTCCACCCTTATGAAGCAGGATCACCAAAGCCGATTTTAAGCTCGAAGGAAATACCCCGCACGTCCAAGAGTGATTTATAGCTTTGACTAAAATATCGGCTATAATAACTTCAGGCATATTAAACAATATTCTGACAGACAATCCATCCTCTCCCGACGCATTTTTGTTCTTGATGCTTTTTAATGTTTGTTTAACTTCAGCTAAATCGGTTGGTGTAAATGCAAATGAATTGGGTACTGAAATATGAGACATATACAACATTGGATCTTTACGAATTCCTATGTTTTTTGTTAAATTTTTCCCAATATTACAATAGTACTGATTCAGGTTGTCAGAAGAAACTTCCGGATGTGATAGTGACTTTTGAAAATTATTAGAACAAATATTATTTATAATATATGCCAACATTCTTTTTGTTTGTTAGAAGAATTACTTAGACGATCGAAGTAGTACCGTTTTTTTGCAGCTGCAATCAGTCTACGAAACAAAGACCTGTAAGAACCAAAGTAAGTATAAAAAAATGGACTATCTGTATATTTTCTAATCCTATGAAGACAGCGAAGATTCCTAGAGGAAGTTTTTAAGCCCTTGGTAAACCATGGTTTTTCCCTTTTTGTTTTTATATTTTTTACAGGAAAACAATTGTTAAAAATCCTTGTCGTTTTCTGGTGAAATGAACTTAAAGGTTCTTCAGATGTCAGCACTTGATTCCAGGTTTCCCAGCTACATGATTGGTAAAACCTATTAAAGCTGCTTCTGTCGAATATTCGACCACGCCTAGATTTTTGTTTATTTATCACTCTGGGCTCCGATATGTCACAAACCACTGCCTCATGATCTGACAATGCTGAATTAACTACCCTACATTCTACCTCTTCCTGACTATAACTGGAACAAATATAGTCAATTAAGGTTGATGTTGTTTTTGTTATACATGTGGGTGTTGTGACATGCATATTCAGGGCATTAGAGATAAAAATATTTTTTAATGCAACGGTGGATATTGAATTGCTGTGTCTGTAATCTATGTTAAAATCTCCAGCAAGCAGAACATTAGATGATGAAGAAATTTCAGCCAAAAGACAATCCAGGCCTGTCAAAAATTCAGTTGCAACAGATTTGGGTGATCTATAGACACAGACTACATAGAGGTTTAGTTTTCTTGAAAAAATCATAGTGAACTCAAAAGTTAATTCTTTTAGCAGAATATTAAATTTGTTTATGGGTTCAAATAAATTTAGATCTAAAAAAGACTTCCTCAATAAAATCATACAACCCTCATGCTCATTGCTAGTACGACAAAATCTTGACACAATAACATAGTCAGGTATATTAACTAATTCATATTCCTTCAGCCAGTGTTCCGTAATAAGGACTATATTTGGATTATTATGTTCATTTAAAAACAAGTGTAGCTCGTTTGTTTTATTTCGGAGTGATTGAATATTTAGTAGTAAAGCAGAATTCTGATGTTTGTTATTTTTGTTTTTTACGCCCCGATTATCAACTAAACTAATGTTGACCGTTTTGTGTGGCCTGGATCTAAAAAATCAATCTTGTCACTTTCGAAACAATTTTCAACAGTCAAATCTACCACATCCAAATCCAAACCTAAATCTAAATCTAAATCTAAATCTAAATTCTGGGAAGGGGCCCGTTCACCCAACCGAGTTGACTGAGTACGACTATAATTTAAGTTATTTAATTCCTTAACAAGCGAAACAAATTTCAAATTAGAGAGGGGTTTTTTGTTAAAAAAATTGTTGATAGAATTAAACATCAACTTTGAAAGACATTTAAGGCCACTTCTTTTTAAGAAAGGTGTGCTTCTAATATAGTCAGCTGGTCGAAAGGCGTTCTCCAGATCCAGCAAATCTACACTTATCGAAAAAGACTTCAATAGCTCGCTTTGATTCATCTTATGTACTAAATCTTGCTTATATCTAGATAAAAACCTAGCTGGCATAGTGCAAATTAAAAGATTAGTTTGAAAACACTTATTAGAAAGATTTATTATACTTTTTTTGTCAACGTATAACTCACTGAAGCCAGCAAATGTAATAACAAAGTCATTTTGTGTAAAGCCCTTGATGTAACAGTCCAAATCCATAACAATATCTGACAACCCGGCATTTGGTTTGCAAACTGTTTGAACAATACAACCCTCACCAAAGCAACTGCTAATGTATTCGTGTAGATATTTGCCATATAAATCAGTTAGCAGTAAAATTTTGGGTTTTTGCACGTATGTTTTTTGCTGAACATTACCGGGTGTGTTATTGTCATATACACTTTCCACGTTTCTTTTATTCTGCGGCTCTTCACTATAAAAGTTTTTATTTTTATCCTTTTGCAATTTATTTTCAGTTGTGGGCTTCTTCATTGCTGTCTGTGTTTGGCATAATTTGTTTTTAAGTTCCCTTATTTCTGTGTGGTATAGTTTATTTTCTTCCTCCATGGTATTCAGACTGACAATCATTTGCTTCTGCAATTCTTTCAGTTCACATAGTTCTTGTTTTAATTTATTATTAGTATTTTGAATGTTTTTAGCTTTTTCTAAAAACTCTCGATTTTCAACTGTTAAATGACTAATTCTGATATTTAAGTTTTTATTTCCTGTTCCTTTTTCAGCTTCAAGATTTCTAAGTTCCAGCTGTAGACTGTAGTTGGATTGATCTGCAGACTTTTTAGATATATTTGATGTTTCATTTTTATTACAATTATTAAGCTTTGTAATTTCTAATGCCATATTTTGATTTTTTTCCTCACTTTCATGTAGATTTTTGGTTAAATTTTCCAGATTTTCATTTATTTCTTCTTTTTCCTTCTGATGGTGAATGAATTTCCTCATTTAGTTTTTTAACGTCCTTGTTTAATTTTTCAATTGAATTTACATGGTATTGAATTTTCTTATGCATTTCATCCTCTCTATCATATACAAGATCGTCAAAGCTTCTGGACCCTCTCTGCAGTCTGAGAATGTATTTATTTTTGTCCAATATCTCTATTTGTAGCTTTTTAATCTCTGTCTCCAAGTCGTCATTTTTAAACTGATACTCTTCCATGATAATGTCTTTACTTTTTATCTCATTTAGACATTTCTCATGCGCCTTTTTCAGATGTGACAGCTCTTCAATACAGCTAAAAAGTTGAGTTTTACACTCATTACAACCAAAAATCAACTTTCTCTGACTCAAGACAAGACAATCGTTTTCAGTTACTGTTATCTCCAAACAGATTTTACAAAAAGCTCTCATACAAAAATCGCAACATGCTCCAAACAACCCTCCATCCCTCATTTGTGATCTTCTTTTATTGAAACAATTTTCTTGGCAGACTGTACACTGCATTTTTATTAGTTTGTGTATATAATTATATAATTGGAATTCCCACAACTGATAAGGTTTTTTGGTAGGTACCACAAATAAAAATAATAAAACAGGTATTTCTGATAAAAAGATGTTTAGACTATCTGTAGGAATGTCAGTACGCTAAAAAAAGGAGGCAAGAAGTATATATAAACCGCCTACTGATATTAACAATAATAATAATAATAATCATAATTTCTTTGTTTCAATTTTTGTCTATTACAGGCTCTTGAAAAGTTGTGATGCCAAATGTCTTTATGAAAAAATCAATCAAAGTCTTTTAAGACTCTGAAGCTAGATTGAATGGTATATGGTTTTTGTGTTTACTGAACTAGACAAAGTTGTATATTTGTTGCAAGAATTTTGCACCTAAGAAGCTTCAAAATTGAAATTATCGACGTTGAACATTTTCCAAAAAATACACTAAAACAGTTTTTGCCTCACAGCTCCGATTTCAATGTAATTGAATTCAAATTAAAACCAATTAAATTCTTTACAAACCTATTAGTTTTTCCAAATTATTTAAGGCAAGATTTTTGAAGATAACAAAAACAAAGTCACAGTCTCATAATTTATTTGATTAGCTACACGTGTTTCGCTCAATAGAGCATCATCAGGCCTAAAATAAAATAAAGTCACTTAACAAATAATAATTGAGGCAAAAACAACAAAAAAGTACCTTGAAATACACACCCCTAACACCCCTATTTCAAGGTACTTTTTTGTTGTTTTTGCCTCAATTATTATTTGTTAAGTGACTTTATTTTATTTTAGGCCTGATGATGCTCTATTGAGCGAAACACGGGTAGCTAATCAAATAAATTATGAGACTGTGACTTTGTTTTTGTTATCTTCAAAAATCTTGCCTTTGGTCTCTTGGATAAAAATGGATGATGCCTTTTTCTTATTTAAGGCAGTTAATGATTATTTATATTTCTGTATGAGTTGGATTTTACCATAAAAGGCCCAAAGTCCACTGGGTTTTAGTTAATATTGATAGTGAGGTTTTTGTTTGAGGGATTAGATGGATATTTTACAAATGGATAGAGAAAAGAAGGAAATTTAGGAAGAAGAAGGAACATGCTCACGTTGATAAAAACTTACGTCAAAAGTAGAAATTATTTGATTTCAGCTGACCCAAATATAGTTTTTGACCTGAGAAATAATTAAATTTTTTCTAAAACTTCTTAGAGCTAATTGCTCAATAGCAATATAATTCAAGGGTGAACATTGCAACTACACATTACCCTGGAGTTAAAACCAACCCAGAGGTGACTTGCTTTGAGAAACCGACCCTTAAGCTGGGTCCAGACTATGTAACAAAACATGTTGATAACAAAGTCGTTCAACAAATTTATTGTACAACTTTGTTGTGTAACTTGTTATAATGTTTTATAACTTCCTTTGATATTTACCGACATCTGATGGATGGATAACATAAAACATGCTATATAACCAGCAAAATATTGTAAAACACTGTGTTGTATAACTTTTTTATTTGAAATTCTCTAACAAGTTATAAAACTTTGTTATCTAACATGTTTTGTTACATAGTCTGGACCCGGCTTTAGGTAGCTAAACTACACCAATTCTTTCTATTAGGTGATATCAACGAATAAATAAGAATTTCTTAACATGAAAACATACATGTAAAACTTGGTATAAATTGGGCCTCCCTGTATAAAACAAAAAGTGATAAGGCCTGCCAGTCTCATCAAACTCAGCTGCTTTCCTTTGAGGAAAAACTTCTTCTGGAGGCTTCATAAGAGGTCTAGCTCTTTTATCGTACAACCCGCTTGGGAACAAATACTCTATAGCATTCTAAAACAATAAAAATCAATGATAAATAATACACAAAATCAAAATATATACATCTATATCGTCTTGGGTAAAAGTCTCGGGGTTTTCTCCCATCATATTGGCCAAATGTCTCTTGCCAATTTCAAATTGGTGCTTTTCAGTTTTCATGAATTCATCGTGCTGCTGAGCTCGTTCTAAATAGGATTTCATTGCTTTGTTTAGGGTGTTTTTCGATTTTATGTTGGCCACAGAAGTGGCAGGTCGTTCTGCGGTGGATTCATTGAATAAATTTACCGTGGTTGATATTAATCGAGCCTGTATAAAGAAATGTTGATAGGTTATGTGTGTAGGGTTTTATAGTTTAATGTTACCTCAAAGTTTTGTTGGATTTTCAGGTACTTTAAGGGCTCTAGCAGCAGGTTGATTTTTCTTATCATTTTTAATTTAATTTTATTTGAAAATTTGGAAAATATTTAAAATCGCACATACATAACCTCAAATTTCAAATAGAGTGACAAAATGAATTGTCAAACAAAGATTGACTCCGAGTACTCCAAAATTTTCATCAGTTTGCTCGTTTTGGACTACTTGCACTAGAATGCACTCAGTTCACATTTTGAGAGTCTTGGAGTGCGTTTAGAAATGGAGTGTGGAGGTAGAGTAGTTGTTTGTTAGAGTGTTCTAAGGTGCTTTCTTTTCAGAGCTTTTAAACCCTGGGCTTCGACGCCCTGGGGCGCGTCAGCGCACGCTCTGAAAAAAAAAAGAATGGTAATTAAGGAACATATAAGGTCTGTTCCAAAACTGCAGGAAACCGTACAATGTATCGTCACGATTCTGCACAAAACGTTAAATTTGTGCGTAAAAACCAAAATTCGTTTACTAGTGGTTTCGAACTCGTTCATGGGACGGTTTCTAGCGTGTTGGAACTGACCTATAATTATCTGACACTAGTAACAGTTCGGACACTGGAGCTGTCAAGCTTCGCCTCTCTGAGGTGCTATAGCAGTAGTTGTATTCCTTTCAAGAGTTTGAAACACTCGAGCTACTCGCTCCGGTGTTCAATAGCCCCCGATTTGCAGGAAACAGATGCGTGGTGCAACAAACACTTTTCGAAAGGAATAGGGGCGTGAAGCCCCGAAGCTGTTCCGGAGCTCCTCCTAGGTGTGGAAGGAATATAACTATAGGGGATAGACGACCCCAGGGCTTGACGTCCCAATAAAAAGAACGATTGACACCTTTCGAAATCGTGATCCAGGGCGCCTTGGGGCGCCCAAGCTCGTGAAAAGAAAGCAGCTTTTACGTCATCACTTGGAGTGCACTCTGGGTCCGCTATTTCTGAACGTCATGAATCACGTCAAAAGGCGGTTACACACGGACGTGGATGTCTGAAATCATGTACGCACATACATGAACGCGCAAACAAAAACATCAATGTGTATGCAAAATATCGTCGCGTTTTTGAATGTGCAATTTTGTATGCTCACTCGGAATACTGTAGCAAGAATAGCAAGACTGCAGTTTTGTGCGAGCACCATGCACGTTGTTGTTTGCACGTTGATGTATATGCACGTATAAGTATTAAGACATCCACGTCCGTGTGTAACGTGTAACCGCCTAAACCCGTAAAAAAACAATAGTGGTATTCCTTTCACACCTAAGAGTAGCTCCGGGGCGTTACGGGCTTATTCCTTTCGAAAAGTGTTTGTTGCACCTGAGTGCTCAAGCCGAATCAAACCATTTAAATACACGAAAGCCAGCGCATCTGTTCCTTTCAAATCGGGGTCGACTAAAGCCTAGTACTCATAACTGCGAAATTCGCATTTTTTTGACATTGCGTTGAAAATTTGACGTTGATGCGTGTATCAAACGTCAAATTGTCGAAGCAATGTCAAAAAAATCCGAATTCCGTAGTTATGAGTACTAGGCTTAACGCCGGAGCGAGTAGTTCTAGTGTTCTAAGCTCTTGAATGGAATAGAATTAATATGAAAACCGTAGGGAGTTTTTCAACCCAGTCCCTGAGTGGGGTAATTTGAGCGCACTCTAGGCACGCCAACTCTCAATTTCTGATAGGCCTAACGCTCCGAGTAAGTACCTGTTAATAAGAATGGTTTAGAGTTACTCTAGGGTCACTCTAACACCCAGAGTGCTATTTCTAAACGCAACCCTTCAAGAAGAATACCAGTTTGAGTTAATTCAGATCATGATCGAGAAAGTTTTCTGCAATCGAACCCATTAATTTATGCATATGTTTCATCTTTCTAACCCTTGAATCGGTTCCGGAACCGATTTTATTTAAAATGCGAACAAATGACAATAGATGGCGCCAGATGTCCCGGTGTTTACAAATTTGACACTCGATTGTCAACTCTGCTTTAGGTGTGGTAGAAAATTTTTTAAAGATAAAAACCACAGATGAATCACTTTAAAATTTAATTATTTAGTAAATTTAAATGTTTAGTGAGAAATTAGTGTGAAACAATGGATAGCGAAGGCAGAAAAGTGATTGTGTGCGATAATGGCACTGGGGTAAGTAATGAGGGTCTTGGAAAATGGGGTCTATTTTGATGTTTTTGTACTTTGAAGGTTCTATTTAGGGGTTCTGCCCTGTTTTGGGAAACTGTATTTTATGTGTTTAGAATACTTCATCTTTTGCAGTTCTTGTAATTCAGAAAAACACAAAATGTATTTCAGAAAACCTCAGTTATTGTAATTCAACTTTTCCAAAAGTAATTCGAAAAACCTCAATTGTAGTTCAGATTTTTTAAATGTAATTAGAAATCTACCAATCTTTGGAGTATTTGGAAAAACTCCAGAATGCGCTAGCACCAAGTTAGAACATTTTTTAGATGCTCCAGAGTAATTTAGACCAGGGGTTTTTCACCTTGTTAATCACTCAGAACAGACCAGAACACTTCTGAATTTTTGGCATTTTTAAGAAAGCTTTTGAAACGCTTTACAGATTATATGGAACTTTCGGAAACAATCTAGAACTAGAAACTTTGAGAACATCTTAAAAATGGTCACATGATACTTTACTTAAAACTTCCATAAACACTTCACAACTTATTTAGAATTTCAGTTAGAACTACGAAAATGCGCTTAAGAATATCTGGGGGATTTCTGATAACTTCTAGAAGATTCTAGCACTTCAAGAGCATTGAGCAACCAATTGAAATATTCAGAAAGTATTTTGAAATGCTTCAGAATGTGCTTGTGGGAATTTGGAACAATTTTTAAAATTTTGAGATGTTCTAGAGCACTTTAGAATAAATTTAGAACTTTCATAAGCTTCAGGACACTTTCAATTTAATTTTCAATCCTTCTGCATTTGTGTGAGACAAATTGGAATCTTTAAGAACATCGTAAAATGTTACAGAACCAATTTAGACTTTGAAAGACATTCTAGAACAGACCAAAATACTCCTGAACATTTGGCAATATTTTAGAAAGCTTTTAAAACACTTCACAAATCATGTGGAGCTTTATGAAACAATTTAGAACTGGAAACTTTTAGAAAATCTTCACATGATACTTTAGAACTAACTTAAAACTTTCATTAGACTACTCTTAAACACTTCTCAACTTATTTTAAAATTTCAATTAGTACTATCAAAAAAATGTTTAAGAATACCTATTTGGTGGATTTCTGATAAGTTCTAGAACACTCTGGCGCTTCAAGAGCATTAGGCAACCATTTGAAAACTTTAGCAAGCTCCAGAATGTATTTGTGTTAATTTGGAACATTTTTAAATATTTTGAGACTCTAGAGCCGAGTCTAGAGCACTTCAGAATAAATTTAGTACTATGATAAGCTTCAGAAGACTCATTTCAATTTTCAATCCTCTTGAATTCATTTGACAGAAATTGGAACTCTCAAGAACATTGTAAAACGCTAGAGAACACTTTAGAATAATTCTATAAACCTAGCAGTCCCAAGGTGGAAAAAAACTTCGGGAACTATATAATAATTAGGTGCTTTTTAGGTGCTAATAAGGGCCTCTAATTAAAAATTAGGTGCTCCTTTAGTTTCTGAGAAAATAAAAAAAAACTAAGGGACTCGATAGGGGACTACTAGCTTTCATAAACCTAACAATCCCTTAGTTTTTTTTGATTTTCTCAAAAACTAGAGGAGCACCTAATTTTTAATTAGAGGCCCTAATTAGCACCTAAAAAGCACCTAATTATTATATAGATCTCAAAGTTTTTTCGTCATTCTGACACAACAACATGTAAACGTAAAGCCAGCAGTCCCCTAATAATTAAAAAAAATCTGTAACTCAGTTAATAATTAATCAATTCTATTTTTTCTTGAACTATTTAGGAGCACCTAAAAAGCACCTAATTCTGATACAAAAGAAAATTTTGAAAAAATATTTTTTACTATAGGGGACTGCTAGCTTTTATAAACCTAGCAGTCCCTTAGTTTTTTTTGATTTTCTCAAAAACTAGAGGAGCACCTAATTTTTAATTAGAGGCTCTAATTAGCACCTAAAAAGCACCTAATTATTATATAGTTCCGGAAGTTTTTTTCCACATGGAACTGCTAGGTTTATAGACCTCTTTAGAATCAAATTAGAAGTTCAGTAACATTCTAGAATGGGCCAGAACTTTCAGGAACATTAAAGAATACTGGAGATAGTTTAAAGTTGAAATTTCCAGGAGTATTTTGAAATTCTCTAGAACACTCTACAAGTCATACAGAACTTTTGGGAACAATCTAAAACTGGAAACTTGAAATTTTGTGTTCTAATGATCATTTGTGAAAAATTTACTCCACCCACATTGTTTTGATTCAGTTTGAATACAATTCTGAATAATACTCATTCACTTTTTTCAGTTTGTCAAATGCGGTTACGCTGGATCGAATTTCCCTGCTCACATTTTCCCATCTATGGTGGGCAGACCCATAATCCGAGCAGTTAACAAAATAGGAGACATCGAAGTTAAGGTATAATTTTTTTATTATTTAAGCAATTTATTAAATCCTCATTTCATTTATGTATTTTAATTTTCTGTTATAAAGTTTCTATTTGTTCTTTTTGTAGGGTTTACATGTTGATGTAAGTTTTATCTTTAGTGTTTTTTTGTTTGTGTATTTATGAATGCCTGTCTTGGTACTAAAAAAACAATATTAATTAATTTTTACATGCGTTGCAAGCACCCTTCCTGTAAGTAATAGTTCCCAAAACTAACACCCTGTAAACAGTTTGTTTTTTTTTTTAATTTTGATTAGCAGAAACTATAAAACTACAATTCATTAAATTAATTTTTTTCTAGGACCTTATGGTTGGTGACGAAGCTTCGGCGCTCAGATCCCTCCTAGAAGTAAACTACCCAATGGAAAACGGAATAGTACGAAATTGGGAGGACATGTGCCACGTGTGGGACTACACTTTCGGGCCGGGCAAAATGAATTTGGACCCGAAAAACACGAAAATTTTGCTGACCGAACCGCCAATGAACCCGACCAAGCACCGGGAAAAAATGATCGAGGTCATGTTTGAAAAATACGGTTTCGCGGGGGCCTATATTGCCATTCAGGCTGTGTTAACTTTATACGCTCAAGTAATTTCTACTGAAATAAAATATCCAAAATTTACAAATTTTAATTCAAGGGTCTTCTTTCTGGAGTGGTAGTAGACTCGGGGGATGGAGTCACCCACATTTGTCCAGTTTATGAAGAATACGCTCTGCCGCACCTCACAAGACGTCTGGATATTGCCGGACGCGACATTACTAGATACCTCATTAAATTGCTTTTGCTCAGGGGATACGCATTTAATCATTCTGCTGATTTTGAAACAGTAACTTAATTAATCTAAAAAAACCAAATGCCTTTTTAAATCATTTATTTCAGGTAAGAATGATGAAAGAAAAATTATGCTACATAAGTTACGATGTTGAAACTGAACAAAGACTGGCACTAGAAACTACAGTTTTGGTAGAGCCTTATACTCTGCCTGATGGTAGGGTGATTAAAGTTGGAGGTGAAAGATTCGAGGCACCTGAAGCCTTATTTCAGCCGCATTTAATCAACGTCGAAGGCCAAGGCATTGCTGAATTAATATTCAACACCATACAAGCTGCTGACATTGACATGAGACCAGAACTCTACAAACACATTGTATTGTCTGGCGGTTCCACAATGTATCCAGGCTTACCTTCTCGATTGGAACGCGAAATCAAACAACTCTATCTGGAAAGGGTGCTCAAAAACGATACCGATAAGTTGCACAAGTTTAAAATTCGCATCGAAGATCCTCCTAGGAGAAAAGATATGGTGTTTATTGGCGGTGCTGTGTTGGCTGACGTTATGAAAGATAGAGATGAGTTTTGGTTGTCTAAGCAAGAGTATGAGGAGCAAGGGACTAAGATTTTAAAGAAACTTGGCAACAGAGCCGGTTAGGTAATAACTGTTATTGAATTTTATCCAGTTGATTTTTTTATATTTTTTTATTATTAGGAAGATTTATGCCTTTTATCCTTTTTTTTTTTTAAGTCAAAACGCAGTATTTATAAGTTTAATAAATAATTACAACATTCCTAGATTTTTTGGGGTATTATTATTTTAATCTTATTCTATGTAGGTTGTTATATTATGTATAATATGTACCAGGTGTAAAGTTATAAAGTACGACGCCCTGTAACTTTTTTATTTACCATCAAAAATACAAAAGTTACAGGGGGTGGTACTTTATAACTTGACACCCTGTACATATTGTATTTAGTTTTCTTCTACTGAGTTGGTCATTTTTTGAGAAAAATACATTACCTTTTTATGTAAAGGCTTCATAAAATTTTCACTAATTATTTTTGAAACTTCTGCAGAATCTATGGAGAAAGAAATTATACAAGTTACAGAACCCAAAGTAATCAAAAACTATAAAAAATAAAAAAATTGAAGCTTCTGTAGATTCTACAAAGAATGAAATTATACAAGCTATGGAGCCCAAAATAACAAACGAATATTAAATCCATGGAGCAAGAAATATACAGGCTACAGACTCCAAAATATTATGGCCAGAACTAAAACAAAAACTGCAGATAATGAAAAAATTGAAACTTATACTTAGTTTTTCTTAGCATTGGCTTGTTTGGCCATCATTTCCGCTTCCTCCTCCTGAAGCATTTCCACAGCCCTTAACCGTCTCCTAACCATTGGCACTTTTGCCCACCACAATTCCAAAGCCTCATCTTCCTACAAACACAATTAAAACAAAATTTATACCATAAATATTTACAAACTTATACCTCTTTATAAACAGGTGTTCGTTTACAAAGCGCATTAACCAACTCGAGAGGACTCAAAGGATGTATTTTCAATTGCAACATTCTCTTGACTGTAATCACTTCTCTGATGGTGCCGACAATATTGCCAACCGTGTAGCCGTCGGAAATTTTGCTCATGACGCTAGTGTCGAATTTCCAGTTGACCGCCATATATTGGCACAAAAGATCGGTCCATATGGAAAATCTCGAGCTGTAATTCGGACGGGGAATGATGAAAAATTTTTGGTACACTTGTTGCAGGAGTTTTTGGTCACTTTCCCACGGACAATCGGTGACTCCTATGAAAATTACTCTGTCTTCTGGACTGAAATCTATATACCCACTATACTTGGATTTAATTTACAAAAATGTAATACTTACTTTTTACAATTTTAGGTAAATCCTTTTTTAGTCGCTTAGGATCTGTTTTGTCGGTTTTAGGTATTTTTTTTACATAAGGTCTTTCAGCGTTGTCCATGTAAATGACTGAAGGTTGTAATAATTTGGAAACTTTTACTACTAAGTGAATTAGCATTATAAGGCCGGTTTTTCCAGGATATTTACCCACTATGTTGGCGGGAGTTAAGTCAAACAATACTGAACCTAAAGAGAAGATTCAAAAAACTCATCATTAAAGGGTGCTAATTTCTACCTGTTTCATTACAAATAGCATGGACCAGCATATCTTTGCCGGAACTTTTAGGGCCGGCCAGTAGAACTGATTTTATATGGGGTGTGGTTTGATGTAGGTGATCCGATAACATTGGTATTATGCAATATTCTGTCAAGACCTGAAAATTACAGTTTTGAAAATATCTTGTTTATATGTGCGGCTTTTTTGGGTACTTGTCTAATATCACCCAAATCTGTTTGTGGTTCTTTGCCTCGGTTATGAGGCGCTGGAGGGCTGAAAGATTTTTCTCCTTTGAAATCTCTCAGCCAGACTTCAGGAAATCTAAGAAATATTCCGATTGATTTAGTTTAAGATTACTTCCAATTGCTTTATACATACTTTTTAATTATCCCATTCGCTACTAATTCTTCAAACAGAGACTCAGTAGTCCGATCAGGCGTAAGATCCTTTTCCTTCTTTTTCTTACTTTTTTTGCCAGTCTTTCGTGCCTTTTTGCTCGACTTTTTCTTACCCTTATAGCCCCGATCCTTATCGCAAGCTTCTTGCAAAAGTATCAATTCTGCTCTCATCATTTCATCCACGATTTTTCTGAGCTCGTTTTCCATTTCGATGATTTGTTCGTGCTCGATTATGTCTTTGTACGGATACTGTCTTGGGTTTGTGGATTCGTCTTTGCAACGCCACATTTCATCGTATTCTTCTTTTCTATATGGAAAAATAAATAATTGTAATAATCAATTAGATAATAATTCTTTAATGTAGCAACTTCACAAAAAAACATGGTAGAAAACCCAAAATGACGACTTCTAGAAAAAACTCATTGAAAGTTTCTAGAATTTGTCATTTTGTTCTAAGTTTTGGATTTTCTTCTGTCAGGAAAACAAAATGGCATCAGTTTCCTCGTTCAATTTTTTATTTTTCCCGGCTTTTGATTCGCATTATTTATGTCAATAAATTGATTCGATTAGCTGACGTGCAAGATCTGGAAAGGGCTCTACGAGAGGTTGCAGTTAAAACACCCAATAATGACCAAGAATTGGAGCGGTATGCCAATACCATCCAAGGTGTCATCATGAAATCCTATAAGATGTCGAGCCCACTGAGGATGTTCCAAAACTTTGTTAACACCTCTGCTTGGTGGTGTCAGGAACTGGAACACAGGGCGACGACAAGAAAAGCTTTCAATAAAGCTAGGAACACCAAACTACCTAAGGATTGGAACCTTTGCGGAAGCGGCGAAACTCCAGAAAGCTCTCAATAAAGACCCATTTCGGGAAATTGGTATCCTGTGCAAGGAGAATGGCAACTTCACTGCCAATTACTTTCAAGAAAGCACAGAATTACTACTAGCAACCCACTTTCCTGACTCCACGACCACCGTTTTGGGGGATTAGACGCAGGTAACATACATACCCTCTGTGGCTGACTGGCAACTAGCGAATCAGATAATATACGAGAAAAAAATAGGTTGGGCAATCTCTGGCTTCTCCGCCTTCAAAAAACCAGGACTTGAGGACATCTATATCCAGCCCTATTTCAGTGGGGTCTGGCGCCACTCTTGCCGCACCTGATAGGGATGATTAAGGCGTCTTTGGCGCTGAGATACATACCCAAAGCTTGGAGAGAAGTTAAAATGGTTTCCTATTCAAACCAGGGAGGATGGACTACATTACCCCCAAAGCCTATCTCTCTATTAGCCTCTCATCATTTTCTCTGAAAACAATGGAGAGGCTATGAGAAAGGTACATAGGGGATGAAATGTTGTCAACCAATCCACTCTAACGAATACGCAAACATTTTCGGGAGATCACCGGACACCGGACGAGTGGAAGAAATGCTGGACAACAAAGAGTTCACCCTCAGAGTTGGACAAACTGACTATACCTATACAAAATGACAACACTTCAAACCTCTATGCTTCAAACTCTACCTTTACCAGTTATATGGTATAAAGGTAAAAGGTACAAAAATACCGGATGCTGAAGACATAACACCACCTTCCAAAAAATTAGCCACTTGCTAACAGAAAGAAATACTCCGGAAACTGTTACCGGATGGATATTCAATATGCTTTCCAAAAAAATTTTACAAATAAGTGTGCAGGACGTGAACATTGAAGGAATGGTCACAATAGGCTGCCAGCAGGGAGGTGTATGATCACCTTTCCTGTGGATCATGGTTCTGGACAGCCTGATTGTTCGCTTAAATGACAACCACTACACAATAGCTTACGCAGATGACAAACGGCTATTTGCACCGCTATACCTTAAGGGATATTCAATCTAAGCGGAACTTTGAAAGTGACTCTTGTAGTAATAAAAATCACATTCAAAGTTCCACTTATATTAAATATTCCTTAAGGTATAGCGATGCAAATAGCCGTTTGTCATCTGCGTAAGCTATTGTGTAGTGGTTGTCATTTAAGCGAACAATCAGGCTGTCCAGAACATGTATTACTAATATGATAAAAAGATTCATGATACGCATTCTGAAATTCACTTCTAGTTCTTTTCCAAGAACATCCCATACACATGTACTGAATATTTTGTGGGATATGCCTAGCACCTCCAAAGAATCTGGATAGTGTTGACACCAGCTGCTTACTATGAAGATTCCCTGAATATGCGTAATAGAAAAACAAAATGTGTATCACACATGTGTTATGTTCAAAGGTCTGTACAATACATGTTATAACCCAAAAGCCAATAATATTCACCTTATATTCAATTCTGGCAAAAACGTAGAAACCAAAGCTTTAGATTGTGTTTCTTCCTCATCACCTTCAGACGTTTTACCTTGTTTAGGACTTTTGGCAACTTTTTTCCCTTTCGAATCCGGTGTAGATTTGCTAGTTTCACTCTCGGTGCCTTGTCGGCTAAGCATAAGCCTCGACGCGGTCCTTTCCGAGCCGGTGTACTCTGGAATTTTGCCAGTTTGAGCTTTGTACTCGTGCAGCCAGCCTCTCACTTGATCGCTGAGCTGTTCCAAGACGAAACCTCGTTGATTTTTTTCCAAATTGTTTCTTATTTGTTTGATTTCGAGGGTGTATTGTTGTTGGCGTTGTTTTTGCAATCGGCGACGTTTTTCTTGGTTTTCCAAGTCTTTTTCTAGGTGTTCGTTTTTCTTTTTTGGTGCCGCAATCATACCGATTAGTAACATTTTAAAATGACAAAATAAATGACAGAACCAACCAACACAAATCACTGTCCACACCACAGATATCTGTAAATTTCTCTTATCTCCCGACAGTGTCGCCATCGTTGACTAAAAACCTAACTAAAAACTTTCGTCGCGATTCTCCCATTTGCACCACTTTTCAAAAAATTAGCCACTTGTTACCAGAAAGAAATACTCCGGAAACTGTTACTGGGTGGATATTCAATATGCTTTCCAAAAAAATTGTACAAATAAGTGTGCAGGATGTCAACATTGAAGGAATGGTCACAATAGGCTGCCAGCAGGGAGGTGTACGATCACCTTTCCTGTGGATCATGGTTCTGGACAGCCTGATTGTTCGCTTAAATGACAACCACTACACAATAGCTTACGCAGATGACAAACGGCTATTTGCACCGCTATACCTTAAGGGATATTCAATCTAAGCGGAACTTTGAAAGTGACTCTTGTAGTAATAAAAATCACATTCAAAGTTCCACTTAGATTAAATATTCCTTAAGGTATAGCGATGCAAATAGCCGTTTGTCATCTGCGTAAGCCATTGTGTAGTTGTTGTCATTTAAGCGAACAATCAGGCTGTCCAGAACATGTATTACTAATGTGATAAAAAGATTCATGATACGCATTCTGAAATTCACTTCTAGTTCTTTTCCAAGAACATCCCATACACATGTACTGAATATTTTGTGGGATATGCCTAGCACCTCCAAAGAATCTGGATAGTGTTGACACCAGCTGCTTACTATGAAGATTCCCTGAATATGCGTAATAGAAAAACAAAATGTGTATCACAGATATGTTATGTTCAAAGGTCTGTACAATACATGTTATAACCCAAAAGCCAATAATATTCACCTTATATTCAATTCTGGCAAAAACGTAGAAACCAAAGCTTTAGATTGCGTTTCTTCCTGGTCACCTTCAGACGTTTTGCCTTGTTTAGGACTTTTGGCAACTTTTTTCCCTTTCGAATCCGGTGTAGATTTGCTAGTTTCACTCTCGGTGCCTTGTCGGCTAAGCATAAGCCTCGACGCAGTCCTTTCCGAGCCGGTGTACTCTGGAATTTTGCCAGTTTGAGCTTTGTACTCGTGCAGCCAGCCTCTCACTTGATCGCTGAGCTGTTCCAAGACGAAACCTCGTTGATTTTTTTCCAAATTGTTTCTTATTTGTTTAATTTCGAGGCTGTATTGTTGTTGGCGTTGTTTTTGCAATCGGCGGCGTTTTTCTTGGTTTTCCAAGTCTTTTTCTAAGTGTTCGTTTTTCTTTTTTGGTGCCGCAATCATACCGATTAGTAACATTTCTTGTAGTTTTCGTCGTCTTGTGGCTCTGCGAGCAATATAGCCTCGCCAAATTTTTTGGATTTTAATTGCTGCGGCTAAATTTATGCCTAGGCCTTTGTCTTCTTCTTCTTCGCCTTCGCCAGCAATTGCAGGTTTACTTTTTTCTTTTATGCTTTTGATTTCGCGCATGAATTGGGCCCTTAGTCTGCCTTGCCTGGCACGTTCGTGTGTTTGAACAATTAGAATTGCTTGCTGCTCAGACATTGGAAGTTTTTCTTCAATTTTATCAGTAAAACCTAATTTGTCTAGTACTTCTTCGATTACAAGTTTTTTATAAGCAATTTCATCTTCCCTGTCTCGTCTGAAACAAGTAGGAATTTGCAATTCTGCTTGTAAGGGGGTCAAGTTTAGTTTGGTTAAAGTGTCGCCGCAATGAGTCCATTCCGTCAAGTCTGCTTCTACTAAATCAGTCTAGAATAGAAATAAAAAAAATTGCAATCGAAACCAAAAATTTCGTGTTTGATTACCTACCTTCAACTCTAGAATCCTGCCTAAAGTGGCCTCTAACAGTTTTCTGAGCAATATCCTCTTCTGAGGCTGCACCATCTGATCTACACATATAGACAATCTATTTGCAATAACTATGTATCTGATGTACAATGTTGCCAATAATTCTCTGTGAAGTCTGCGATCGGCTTGAACAGGTTCTGAAGCTAATGTGGTGTTGAGGTAGTTTTGAATTTGACAAAATTCTTCGTCGTAGTATTTGTGAGACATGATTATGAGCTTCTAATTCAATGAGGAAACTGAATGAAAGTTGGCTCTTTTATGTGTTGCTATGGTAATCTATGTAGATTTGGGGTATTTAATCAATAATTTTCCTATAGTGAGTTTGATCTATAATGGAGCTTCTCAAAACATGAATTGTTAAGTCGTGAAAAATAATGGTAATGACTAAGAATATATGTTTTATCAATTCCTCTTGAAATTCCATTCTCCATTTTTAAATTTTTCACATTTTTTTCTATTCCCGGCACTTGAATATTTGAAGTAAAACTTCTTTGCCGAGGGGGTGACAATTTTCGACTTGATTTTAGAACATTTAAAAGTTAAGCTGAGTTAGAGTGGATCGCTAAAATTTAATTGAAAAATAAGTAGCTAATTAATATTACCTTGCAGATTATTTTTATAAAATAAATAAAACACAAATCAATTTCAATGGTATTTTTTTATTATTATTCTTGAAATTTTACAATGTCGATTATCAGTAATTTAATTTATGTACAACAATGTTTCAATAAGTACAAATATAACATTTATTGTTACACAACGTGTGATTTGTATGTTACACAACCTTGATTTTATATAAAATCGACTTAAATTATTCGTGTCTTCTTATACAATTTTTTGGATTATAGAACCAGAATATATTAGCGTAATGTGAGATTATAAGATATGTGGAATTCTCAAAAAAAAAAAAAACAACCATTTAATAATTGAATATTTCATTTAACAAACAAATAATGGCTTTTTTGTGTCAAAAAAACGTGAATCTATAATTCAGGCACTAAATTATTAAACCCTAATTTCTAATAAGAAGAATATTTTTTCCCCATTATACCATTACCTACTAATATACTGTATAAGCCTAAAAAAGAAACCCTATTATAAGTATTACAATTTTCTTTTAAAGTACACTTTGGTTTGTTTTCTTCTCATACTATAAAAAACTATACAATTTGCTGGAAATTTTTATATTCCCATATTTGTTGGAAACTCATCAATTATTTTTTTTTTCGAAAAAATGGACCCCAAAATCTTGATATTTAAATTTTGATATGCAAAACTATCCAAATTCAAACTGAAAACCCTCCTTAGAAAATCTATGTCCTGTGCACCCGATGCAAAATAGGTTCGCCGTCCTCGTAATGGCTCTGAATAGTGGTAACTTGAACTTCGGAAGTGCATCGGCATTTCAGAACCCATTGCACCAAGACGGTGATGAGTCTCGAGTCGTCTGAGTCGTATTTCGGTGGGAATTCGTCTGCCCAAAAATCTGATCCTGGTTCTAAGTATTCTGGCAAGAGATCTGAGGGATTTTCTGACGTGCCTGGACCTGTGGGAAAAAGGATCAGATATTTTTTTTCTCAATCAAACGTATTAGATTTGTGCATGAAAACTTCAAAATTAAATTGAATTTAAAAAACAAGGGAATTTAACTTAAAAAAAATTAAATAGAAAAATTTAATTAAAATAAATAAAAAAAAGTTAAACAGGGGACACCCGGGTTTGAACCGGGGACCTCTCGATCTGCAGTCGAATGCTCTACCACTGAGCTATATCCCCGCTTGTTTTACATTGCTATATCGACGTATATAACTTTGATCAAATATTCCTTGTAAATTTTGATAGAAAATGCCTTTTCGTTTTTCTGATAGATTCTAATTGCTTCCTTGTCTGTCGCATGTAAATAAAAAAAAGAGGTTTATGTAGAAAAAAGTGTAATATTTACAAAATTTGTATTATGCAAGTCCAAACGTCTCAGTACTCGAGTACTCAGTAAGGGGTAGCTATGGGCGGCCATTTTAAAGTTGTATTTGGTAAGTGAAGGAATTTTTCATCAAATTTTTCCGATTTTTCTTCGTTTTAAGTGCGAAAAGGTGGTTTAAAACGTTCCTTATTGTGTCGGTCGTCGAATTAACTATAAGTGGTTCAGGGGAAATGCCTTTTTTCCAGCACAGGTAAGCGAAAATTATCATATAGGCGGCTGTACCAATATTTTCCGACTTTTCGTTGTCAGGCATGGGAAAATATCAGTAGTTTTTATCAACAATTTTACAATTTCCAGCCAATTTTAGTCCTCTCTGTACTTTGGCATGGAAATTTGAAAGAAAATGCTTTTTTTTTTTTGAAAAAAATAATAGTTCCACTTTTCCCCGCTAGGCGATTTTGTTTGTGTCCTTGTTTGTCACATGTGAAAAGAAGAAAAAGTTAGCTATGTGCGGCCATTTTAAAGTTGTATTTCGTCCAGTGAGGAATATGTTTCTAGTTTTTTATTGAATTTTTCGGGTTTTTCTTTGTTTTAAGTGCGGAAAATTGGTTCAGAGGAAATGTCATTTTCCATCCCAGGTAAGCGGAAGTTGTCATAGGCGGCTTTGCCAATAGTTTTTCTCAAATATTCGGTGTTTTCAGACCAGTGAATTTTCAAGCATAGGAAAATATCAGTAATTTTCCTCAACTATCTTCCAACTTCCAGCCAATTTCAGTTCTCTGTATGTAATTGGCTGGGAAATTTGATTTTTTTAAAAAAAATTCTCGGTAATTTGACTTTTTCCCTCTAGGCGATTTTATTTGCGTCCTTGTTTGTTACGTTATGTTGAAAGAAAACAGATATAGGGTAGGGTAGGAACAAATGCTGCAAGTTTAGAAATATCTTAATAGGCTATGAAGAGACCATTTAAAGTCGCGTTTTGGACATTGGAGTGAGTTGTTTCTAATTTTCCATAGACATTTTCTTGTTTTCATTGGTTTCAAGTGCGGAATAGTAAATTTCCTAACTAGTGCGAAAAGTGCCACTTTTCCCCGCGCTGTTGCAGTTGGCCAACCAATCAAGTTAGGAAAAAATACTTTCCGCACGAGTTATGAATACTATTTTTCTACGAGATGAAAGTTAATATTTGTACCTTTATAATACCTATCCAATTTTAGTAGACTTTGGATTATCTATTGCTGTGTTGGTATTACAGGTGTTTTGTTCGGGCGCCATATTCAAAATTTCCCAAAGCCTACTTTGTCGCTTGTCAAACTGTCGTGTTGTTACATCGATATCGATTAACACCGTTGCCAACTTTAAGAAATGTTGTTTTTATCACAGGCTCTTGAGTTTTCTTTGTTTGAAGACATTTAGAGGAGATTCAACAGCTGGTAATTGACGTTTTCAATTAAAAGAGATGGACAATAAAGTATGAACACAATCATTTTCCCGCCAACATTTGCTTGCTTGTCAATGCCAGTGTGTATTGGGTGTTTTGAAAGAAATTGTGAGAAAAGTTACTACCTACTTCATTTGCAGAACTTCGCTATAGAGAAAGCGGTGAATTATTTTGGAAGCAAACAGCTCCCGCAAACTAAACTTGAACGTGGATTACTGTGTATACTTGATAGGCCGTGGATTTTCCTTTTTTTTTGCGAGTATTTTTTCTGATTTTATGTATCCAAAATTTGACAAATATAGGATTTGATGGAAACTTATGGAAAGACACGTCCGCCGGTAAATAGGAATTATTTTTACAAAAAGGCACACTACACAATCACCATTGTTAGGAAAAAACTTTGAAAAAACCGAGGAAATAATAGTTTCCAGTTTCCACATGTACAAAAGTCTTGTCAACAAACCACTGTCAGCGGCTGTCAACCGTTGTTTTCATACTCTTTTGGCGTCTGACAGTTTCACGCCAGAGAGAGAGAAGCTTTTAAATTGGAAAGGTCAATGGATAAAAATTGAGACAAGTGTATCTCTTTCTTACACAAACTGGTAAAAAGAGACACGAATACACTCAGTGCGCACTAACCCTTTCAATAGAATTCGCTATTAGTAGGCTTTGGAAATATCTATTGTCATGTCGGTATTACAGGTGTCCTGTTTGGGTGCCAAATTCAAATTTTGAAATTCTCCAGAGCCTACTTTGTCGTTTGTCAAACTGTCGTGTCAAACATCGATATCGATTAACAGCGTTGCCAACTATAAGAAATGTTGTTTTTATAACAGGCTCTTGAATTGTCTTTATTTGAAGACATTTAGAGGAGATTCGATTCAAGAGCCGGTAATAGACAAAAATTGAGACAAGTGTAGAACAAATGTCTTTTTATCTCTTTCCTATACAATCTGGTAAAAAGAGAGACGAATACACTCAGTGCGTACTAACCCTTTCAATAGAATTTGCTATCAGTAGGCTTTGGAAATATCTATTGCCATGTCGGTATTACAGGTGTCCTGTTTGAGCGCCAAATTCAAACTTTGAAATTTTCCAAAGCCCATTTTGTCGCTTATCGAACCGTCGTGTTGCTACATCGATATCGATTAGCAGCGTTGCCAACTCAAAGATATATTATTTTTATTACAGGCTCTTGAATTTTATTTGTTTGAAGACATTTAGAGCAGATTCAAGAGCCGGTAATAGACAAAAATTGAGACAAGTGCAGAACAAATGTCATTTTATCTCTTTATTATACAAGCTGGTAGAAAAAGATACGAATACACTCAGTGCGCCAGTAACCCGTCCAATAGAATTCGCTATTAGTAGGCTTTGGAAATATCTATTGCCGTGTCGGTATTACAGGGCCCGTATTTTCGTAACTAGGGAACAACGATCTCAAGAGAACGATTGCTCTCTGTCTTTGTCAGTATTATGGAAATAACAATATGAGCGACTAAGACAGAGCAATTCGTTTTTTCGAGAACGATGTTCCTCGGGTTACAAGAATACCGGCCCAGGTGTCTTGTTTGGGCGCCAAATTCAAACTTTGAAATTTTCAAAAGCCTACTTTGTCGCTTGTTAAACTGTCGTGTTGCGTCATCGGTATCGATTAACAGCGTTGTCAACTTTAAGAAATGTTGGCTCTTGAATTATCTTTGTTTGAAGACATTTGGAGTGCGTTCGAAAAAGAGTTAAATTTTACCCAAGGGTGAGAGTGGGTCAGAAGAGTAAACTTTAACTTGTGTGTTTTCGAACGGTCTGGGGTATAATAACATAATAAAAACATAACATTTAGGCCCAGTGTTCTGTGCATTTCATTTGTCTGTTTGTACCTATTATCAACTTCCAAGAAACGGAAAATGGAACAAATAAATCTAACTAACCCCGGATATTTTCGAACTAGCGTGAAAGTCAACCAGAGTTTATACCAATTCATTTTCGAACGGCTGGTGTGCACTCGGTGTGATTTCGAACGTACTCTTAAAGGATCGAGACTCAAGAGCCGGTAATAGATAAAAATTGAGACAAGTGGAGAGCAAATGCCATTTTATCTCTTTATTATACAAGCTGGTAGAAAAAGACACGAATACGTTCAGTGCACACTAACCCTTCCAATAGAATTCGCTATTAGTAGGCTTTGGAAATATCTATTGCCCTGTCGGTATTACAGGTGTCTTGTTCGGGCGCCAAATTCAGACTTTGAAATTTTCCAAAGCCCATTTTATCGCTTGTCGAACTGTCGTGTTGCTACATCGATATCGATCAACCGACATGAGAACCGTTCCATAACCAATAATTTTCAGTTGCCCACCAATTTTTCAATACGTTGAACGTTTATCCTGATTATCCTACTTGACAAATTGATCCACTAGAAATGACCATTCTACAGTTTATTTTTTCCCAAGATAGATTTTGACATTGTCAACTTTGAAACATAAACAATGCCGCTAGTGCCGCCTATTGGTCGCAAAATGTCATTTGCACGACATGCATTGTCAACCTGCAAGGACACCTCATTTTGCTACAGTGGCTAAATAAACCTTTACATACAGTGGCGACAATAGAGGTCCCGCCGCCATTTTGTTCCCAACCTCTTGTTACTTTTAAATATGAATTTATAGGTTTTAAATGGACATCTTTCATAAAAAATTGAAATCGACGTATTTGATGATTATTATTAGGTCCATCAAATGGCATCAAATACTTTGTTTTCCATGTTTTATGATGGATGCTCACCTAAATCTCATATATTCATATTTGAAATAAGCAATAGATGGGAACAAGATGGCCGCGTTTTCGATATAAATATATGGGATTTTAGAACCAATCAAAAATAAGACAGCAATTGTCGCCACTGTAAGTAATAGAGTCACTGTACATTTTGCGACCAATCAGGGCCAAGCGGTATTGTTTATGTTTCAAAGTTTTCAATGTCAAAATCTATCTTGGGAAAAAATGAACTATATAGAACGGTTCTCATGTCGGTTGGAACAGAGCTAACTTTTGAAAATTTTTCAACCAAAATCAGTCTTTGACTAAGGCCCAGTATACATATCTTACTTGAATAGAATAATTTTTAAAGTATTTGTAATCCGGGAGATAAAAAATGTTGCCAACCCTCAAGATATGAGATGAAGAATATAGACGTCTCAGAAATGCTTATGGGTTAGACTTAGACAGGGAAAAGAAAATAGTTTGTATCTGTTCAAAGTATCTTTATTACAGATTAATAAGCGACTTTTATTTAAGTATAAATAATTATTTGATGGATTAAAGATATAATTCATCTGAAAAATGAAACTATTAATCCGATAAAAAGAAAATTATTTATTTTGCAAAATAATCAATCAAACTATTTGCATGTAAAGTACCGAACCCTTGATCAAGCATGAAGGTAATATTCTGGCCTAATCACATTAGTTTCTTATCAGGTTATTAATTTATCTTTGACCGTCATATAAGTGCCGGTTCATTCACCTTCTGATAAACTATCAGGTAATGAAATCTGACGGATAGAAATAAAAACGCAATCTCTGATTGAATTAATTGGTCGGCCAGTTATCCAGCGATCAATAGGATTATATAAGATGAATAGACCGGGCCTTAATCTGTTTCTTATCAGATAACATCTCAACTGAATTTGGACACACATGAGACTGATTGATTTCTGAACAATCTCGTTTTTACCTTTTTATAGACCATCTTTATTTAATTAATTGTTTTGTTTCTTCCGATTCTCTAATTTGCGAGAAATCTCTATGAAGTTGATGGCTTTAATCGTTGTCTTTTAAGATTCCGTAACCACTCAGTTGCTTTACTTATGGATTCTGAAGAGAAAGTTTAATGTTATTTATCAACTATGTTTTGATAATATTTTTCTCTTTTTAGAGTTTTTCTGTTTGATGCAGATGAAATTCTGTCAAAAAGAAGCCTTTTCATAAGGTCTCTTACTGCCATTTCTCTATTATTTCCAGGGTCTTATCCTTAAGGCTTAATCTTATGCATTTTATCCAGGTTTATGTATCTCTCCAAAAGAGGGCGACGTCATTTAGTTAGATATCTCTCTAATTGATGGCAGAGCTAGTCTTTAGGTAGGGTTATTCATTGATAGAGGGCACTTATTGGTAAGTAATTTCTTTATGTCCTGAAGAGATAATTCAAAACAAAAAGTTATTATTGATTTTTTGTTTAAACAAAAAAGCGTCAGCTCCTAGTTCAGCTAAATTATTGATGTCAATAAAAGGAGAGTAAGGCCTCTCTTTGTCAACACCTATTGAAATAAACGACCCACATAACGTAGTGTCTGATGCAAAAAAAAAAAAGAAACAACGAGACAATACAACAAAAGCCAACCTGACGGCAAAAATTTCATTCAATCAAAACGAACTATGGTGGCACAATAATATTGTCCAAAAATTCGACTTGAACTCGGAGAGCAAAACTTGTTAAAGGCGCCCCCGCAAAGTCAGTTAATATTCAAATTTGGCCGATTAGCATAACAAAAACCGGAGCCGCACACGCGAAATTCGATTTTCCACTATTTATTGTGTCCATTATTCAAGCCGGGGATATTTTCCTTGTTATGACAAACGGGCTTCCTACATTGACAACCAAATTGTAAATGATTGTAAAATGGCTTTTGGTTCACGATAACACCATGGATCAGTTGGTGAATCGAAATTCCTCATTTTTATCCCAAAAATTAAAAGTTGAGTCCTCTCATTTTCCGAGGCAAGACAAGAAAGCATATTCTGGTAAGTTTACTCAAGTGACAATTCGTCTTGTTCTTACCTTCACAAATGAAATCCACATTGACAGTAGTACTCAGCGTCGGTTGACAGCTCATGCCGGCTATAGGACACAAGCCGCAATATTTCGGTCTGAAACGTTTCCGGCTCCGGCAAGGACCAAAACGCAGAAACACCGGTTCGCTCAGTCTGTGAGTGGCCTTACATTCGTGACCTTTCTATAGAGAAAAAAGAAAGAAGAGTTTAATTAAAAAATCTTTCAGCTCAAAGAATAATAGACTTGTAAGTGTGGGTTTTTCAAAGGGAGCTTATTGCTTGGGGATTTAGTTGTGCTTTGGTTAGAGTGGAGATTTACTGCCGCGGCCCCATTTTTCACACTTTAGCAACTGAACTATATGGATTTATCTAGTTATGTTTAAATGAGAAAAAATGGGATTCAAATTCCCCGCAAACTGACTCAATAATATTTTGATGTCACAGTTACACTAATCAAATGTTCTTTTTATTTTTTCCTGTAATTACTATCAAATTAACCCAACCTTGAAGAGAAAAAAACACACATATGCGCCCTATAATTTTCCACGTGAAGTAACATTTGAAATAACCATGGAGCCGGGTCTCTAATTTGCCTCGCGATAATGTGATGGTGCCTCTAAGCTCTATTCGGCGCCCTTCTTGACCTCAATACGCAATAAAACCCAGACATTAAGTGGACTACAGGAACGGACTGTTTTTGGAGAATTTTGTCTCTCATTTTCTTGAAAAAAAAAATGTTTTGTTGCCAAACAATGACTGTCGACCTCAATTAAAGGACATGGCACTAAATATTAGAATCCTGGTGATCGGTCGATTTTTTTAAAACTGCAGTATGTTATTCTATACCTGAAAACAAGCATTTTTGCTTATGGTCACTTCTTTGTACGAGTATGGGATGTTCAAGAAAATTAAGTCCAAAGTTTTTATATGGAATATTTTGTTTGAAGCAGAAACTATGTTATCTGATCTGTTATGCATTTTTGCAACTTTGTGCATTAAATACAAAGATATTTATGTAGTTAAGAGCAAAAATTATTATACAGGGTGTCTCAACAATTTTATTTTAAACCAAACTACACTCTAAAAAAAGCCAATAACCAAAATAACGGTTAAAAAAATTGAGTTTTAAGTATTTATATCAAATGTTTGATGTATCGGTTTAGTGATTCTAAATATGTATTGGTCTGTTGTATTAACAACACAGTTGGGGCCAGTATCACAAACAGTGATAACCCAACGGTAAACACAAAACACTGGTAACCTACACCTACAATATATCTGTTTCATAATGTGTGGTTTACCCAAAATCTTTGGTCAAGCTTCAGAATATTCCATGTAGTCATCCCGCAAATATGAGTCCGATATCCGATAACCAGTGCAGGTTACCACAAGGTTACCACCAATTGTGAAACTGGGCCTATATGCAGGGCCGTAGCCAGGGAAGGGCATTGGAGGGCAATGCCCTACCTTTCAAATGATGATGCCCTACCTTTAAAACACAACATGCGTTGAGGTTTATCTAGAAAATTTAAGAGAAGATGAAAGCACTGTTTCAACCGACATGAGAACCGTTCTAGAACGGTAATTTTCAGTCGCCAAGGAGGATAAACGTTCAAGTTATTGAAAATTAGGTGGGCAATTGGAAATTACTAAATAGTTCTGGAACGGTTCCTATGTCCATTGGACCACAACTAATGAATGGACCTGAAATGGAATAAGTTGGTAGGCATACAGTTATTTTACAAGTAGTACAAGTACAAGAGGTCCTTCAAAAATTATTGCCTGAACGCGCCATTTTGTTTATTCGCCAGAAATGTTATTTGATGTTATTTATTGAATAATTTACCTTCGGCGCCATTACCCTCATTCTGTTTACCTATAAAAAAATTTGAGGGGCGGAGGGAAGTAGTGCATGCCCTATGTCAAATTTTTCATGCCCTACCACAAATTTGACTCTAGCTACGGCTTTGCCTATATGGCATATTTTTGTATTTGTTGATCTATTTCTACAGTATTAAATCCAAATCGTTTCCGAGGAATAGCAGCTACTTCAAATAATCTCTGGCGAGCATTGTTACAATGTTTATAGTTATTATTGATATTTTAGGTAATTATAGTTTTGTAGCAGTTGATTTGGTTATTGGCTTTCTTTAGAGAGTAGTTTGGTTAAAAATATAATTTTTGAGACACCCTGTATAATAATTTTTGTCCTCAACTACATAAATAGCTTTGTCTTAAATGTATAAGTTGCAAGATCACATAACAGATCAGTTAAACATAAGTTTATGCTTCAAAGGAAATATTCCATATAAAAACTTTGAACTCAATTTTCTGGAACATCCCATACTCGTACAAAGAAGTGACCATAAGCAAAAATGCTTGTTTTCAGGAATAGAATAACATACTGCAGTTTTAAAAAAATCGACCCATCACCAGGATTCTAATATTTAGTGCCATGTCCTTTCCTAAGAGCCTTCTTGACCCTTTTCCATTCTCCTTTTATGTAAGTCTACGTTTTTGTAACAAGGAATTACATTTTGAAAATAAAAAAAGTATCAAGATACACAAAAATTCTTACTCTGAGATGATGATGTTTCCTATGCAAAGCGACATAGTCTCGGTCCTGGCACCTTCTGGTCTGACATATCCTGGTTTCGGTGTCCGGGACGCATTTGGCGTTGAGATTGGATTTTCTGGACGACAATCCAGATCCGCATTCGCTCGAACACGGCGACCATCTGGAAAACGACGGCTGACAAGAGGGCGGTTGCTCTGCTGAGAAAGAAAAAGAAAGAAAATATTTCTATTAAAATTTGAACAACTCAAAATAAATTATAGACTATTGGAATGAGCATTAAATTCTCTATAAATCTGTGCTAAATTGAATTTGATGGCTTAAATACTTTCTGAGCAATTGAGCCACAAAGTTGGATTTTAGTCAAAAACTTCAAACTCCATATTTTCACAAAAACCTTTTTTTTCGATAAATCGCAATTATAGTTAAACCCATTTAAACCCACTTCACAAATAATTTGCAAGTTAAGTGCGGATCCCCAAACGATGTAATCTGGCACTGCCTATAATTTCCAATATTGTTAGTCCCCGAAACTAGGGCGGAAGTGTCCATATTTCCACAAAAACCCTTTTTTCGATGAATCGCAATTATTAGTTTTACCCCATTAAACTACCCTCGAAGTTATTTGAGGTCTTTAAAGGTATTCCAAACGGTGTATATTGGTACTGTCATAGGCGCCGGAACCATGGGGGCAATGGGGGCAATGGGGGCAATGGGGGCAATGGGGGCAATGGGGGCAATGGGGGCAATGGGGGCAATGGGGGCAATGGGGGCAATGGGGGCAATGGGGGCAATGGGGGCAATGGGGGCAATGGGGGCAATGGGGGCTTCAGTCCCCGTAGTGAATTTGCTATGGGGGCGAAGCCCCCATAGTGATTTTGTCATTGTATGTAGTGGGTGTAGTGAGTAGGTACAAAAATATCGAGTTTCTGATCTTAACATTCCCAACTATTTATTTTTATATCAAACTTCTGTGTTTTATGTTTATGTTGTTTTTGCTATACCCATTTTGATAAACAGTTTGAATATTTTTTTGTTTAGTATAGTAAGTAAAGTAAATTTTAGAGGCCTCAATACAAAAAGCTTAGATGACAAATACCCATTACCCAACATGACGGATCTCTTGAAGAAGCTGGGACGCTGCCAGTATTTTACCACCTTAGCTAGCGGCATCCACCAGATCCAGATGCATGAAAACAACATCGAAAAAACCGCACTCGGCCCAAAAAACGGGCATTATGAGTTCTTGCGCATGCCTTTTGGCTTGAAGAACGCGCCGGCTACATTCCAAAGAGTTATGGATGATCTTTTGTATCCCAATATATTGAGCAACTTTAACACTAAAAGATGGAACATCCCATCAATAATATTTATTCATTATAAGTACAAGGGAAAAAAGTATTATAGATTTTAGAGGGAGATGTGGTTTGCCTCCTGCCGCGAAGCGGAGGGAGACAACAATAAGGTGGCCAAAGAGCGCTGGGAATGCTGGAGGTGGAAGAGGGGAAATCATTATCTTTCGTTCTCTATTCAACCTTAGAGTTTCTCTAGACATTTCATTCTATTGCATTAAAATTGGCCTGTGTAGACCTGTCAAACTTGTATCTGGGTAGTTCATTTTTCAGCCATACCATTAGCTTATTTTTAAGTTTGTTTCGTGCAATAAGTTGATTTTTTTTCAATTTGTTTTGAATGAAAGCGAGGCATCATAGCGAGGGAGTATGTTGATTTCAGTCCATATAAGTAACGTTCCACTATAAATTTCCATCAAAATTTGTTAAAATAGCCGTATTGCCGCTTGCCCTCATTATTAGAAGTCCCAAAAATACCGTGTAAAGACCCAAACATTTCGCAGCTGCTGCGCTTTTCTTCTTGTAGCGCTTGCGGCAAAGTTGCCAATGCCGTAAGGATCACTTCTTGCAAATTCCCCCCCGAAAACCGAATCCTGACTACGCCAATGGTGCTGTTGAAGGCGAATATAGCCAAGCTGCCGAAGATGTACAAATTTCGAAGGAACCTGCGGAGATGATAAATGATCCAGCGTGGTGATCCTGCAGTGAAATGGATATCTGTCAACTGGTCCCATTTAAGTCTATGTGTCTAGTAGCTTAGTCCTGTCTGTCTTATTATTTATACTTATATTGATCGTTGGAGCCCATAGTAATTTCGAAATTCCGGCGCCTATGGGTACTGTCTATAACATCTTGTACCATTTATGCCCGAGACTAGGGTGGAAATATCCATATTTTCACAAAAACCTTTTTTCCGTAGGATTCCAAATTTGATTATGCCATATTGTAGAAGAACATTCTGTATATCTGTTTTGTAATTCCTCTTTGTGTTTCAAATCAACTCAAATTTATTAAGCTTATATAAAAATCTAAACGTAAATTGAGCTCCCCTTGATAATTTCCTAAAAAGTTCATTTTGAGCTAATGCCCAAGTAAACCCCACAAAATTGTGTTTAAAGTGGGTTTTAATGCCGCCTATGCAAATAAAAGCCTTCCCAGATTAACTCTCCGTCTTTCTAATGCTTCTATTTGAATTTATTAAAAACGGACGGAAAGTGGAAAAAAAAAATGTCGTTTACTTCATATTTTCATAAAATGAAATTTTGAATTAACAAAGAACGTCATTTGTCAACCAATAAGTATATTGTGACGTTAAATGCATAGTTTATCTGTCAACGCTTGGGAACTTGATTTCATGGTTAATTTTGAGTTTTCAAGATAGTGAAATTTACCTGTTCTACTGTCGCACATCCATTCTCTGCAACATTGACCAGTGACGTCAACCAAACGTGGATGTTGACATTCTCTCGGCGATATGTGCTCTTGTGGACATAAAGATGAACATCCATAAGTACCATTCTAATGTAAAATGAAACAATATATAAAATTTGTTGTAGAAACATTTTGAAATGCTCATCTTTTATTTCTGTTCTCAATCTTGAAATATATGTTTTCATAATTCAGCTTTTCTGGATTAGTTTCAGTTCAATACTTGAGGACCTTTGGAAGAACATATTAGAGGTTATGACTCAAACTTTTCCCTATTCACTGCCATTGAAAGCAATTTCAATTATTATCATTTGGTTATTCATTAAATGTTCACTGAAAATAATCAGCAAACTTTCTATATTATATACAAATTCCCCTCCTAAAGCCTGTCAACTGTGATTACATAATACAAGAGAGTAAATAATATAATAATATGCGAAAAGTTTTTCAGCGAAACCACATTTCCCTTCGTATTACGCGTCAATGTTTGAATAACTCCTTTCCCTTTTCGGTCTGTAAAACACGAAAAAAATTATTTTTTAAAAGCTGATAAGTAAAAATCCACATTGTTTGTCCAAATATTGAAATGTCTCATTTACTCAGCGACTTTTATATCACCAACTTTGAAAACAAAGTTTTCCAGCGGAAAAATCAAAAAGCATTTTCCAAGTGTGTGAGTAATTAATGAAATATTTAGTTTAGGAATAATGACAATTATTTTAAGCGAAACTCATTACAAAGACATTAGAATAGTTCCGACACGAAAATGATTACAATTTCAAATGAAAAATTCCCCAGTGCAGATATTTTTGGCTTTGTTTCTACACGCGAACTTTTTACATTATTTATATTTTTTAACGAGTTGTTTCTTTCGTATATGCAAATACTAAATTGCAGATTATAGTCCCTTACCTTGTCCTATTTCAACACTAGTTCATAAATAATGCGGAATTGATGCAGATAGATTCACCCTCACCTGATTCAAATTTGCATTTGCAGTGTAAATAATGGCAGAGAAAGGTTTTTTAATAAAGTATTTTTATTCCAGATGGTGGTTTTTGATTGATGGAACAATGGGAAATGAAGGAGTGATTACTTGGCCTGTCGATAATACCATTTTGCATTTTACAGAACAAGGTAAGTAATAATTAACATTTATAATTATTTTGAGAACTTCACACTAGTACGGAAAAATTGTATTTTTAACACAGAATAATTCTTTAGGCGTGAATTTTGAGGCTCTAAAAAAAACCGTATCCCATCAAATAGGGACTTTTTTTCCCCGAAGTAAAACTTCTCTCAAGGAGTTAGATTGAATTGAAAAACTCTTTTATGCGAAAAAAAAAAGGAAGAAAGGTAAAAACGGGCTATTTAGAAAGTTGCGCCGAACTTGTTACTTCTTGGGAAGTTTCCCTAACAAAAAAAAAATAAAGCGTAAACCGGAAGTTCGATAAGGAAATTTTGTTTCATTTGAATGACGGACAATATAAGTCCAAATGAGTTGAAATTCTCAGGCATTGTAGGCCTCTACTAGAATAAGAATCGCTGAAAATTTCAGCTTTCTATCTATGATAGCTATGATCTCTCGAAGTTTTCAGAAATCTAAATTATAAGAGATCTGGAATTTCAATTTTTTTTTGTTAAGATTTTGTGTCTTAATGGTTCTTTGGGATCCTTCGAACTCCATACACTTAATTATTCTGAGATTTGGAGCCGGATTCAATGAAAAAAGGCACTCAGAAAAATTGAAAAATTGATAAACCACCCCAAATTGGTTAACACGATTTTATTTCTGGAATTATGAGTCCAAATTTTCAGGAATTGTAGTCCTCTACTGGAATAAGAATCGCTGAAAATTTCAGCTTTCTATCTCTAATAGAAAAAAAGTTATGACCTTTCAAAGTTTTCCAAAATCTAAATCATAAGGTGTAGCTACCTTACTACTAGCTATGAAATTTCAATTTTTTTTTTTTTGTTAGGATTTTGTGTCTTAATGGTCCTTTGGAATCCCCTGAACTCCACACACTAAATTATTCTGAGCTTGGAGCTGGATTTTATAAAAAAAGGCATTCAGAAAAATTGACAAATCACCCCAAATTGGTTAACACGATTTTATATCTGGAACTATAAGTCCAGATGAGCTGAAATTTTCAGGAACTGTAGTCCTCTACTCGAATAAGAATCGCTGAAAATTTCAGATAAAAAGTTATGATCTTTTAAAATTTTCAAAATTTCAAGTCCTTTTTATCCAACTTTATATGTGTCTTTTTCTTACTCATTGAATTTCTTACATCATTGTTTGTTATTTTATTATTCTAGGCTTTCGATTGGTCAAACAGAGCCTACTCGAGTGCCGGTTATGATAGAGTAACAGATTACTATGCAAGAAATTCAATTAGTAAGAGAGAGATACAAATTAAATAATTTGTGCTTGAGTAAACTTGTAATGTTTGTGTCTTATTTATCAAAAGCCTGGAATAATAAAAATATTAAATAATGAGAAAAAGTGAGAAAGAGACACAGATAAAAGTAATATTTCTAGTTGGCGTGCACTCAAAGAAGTAAGTTCACATTGCAGTAATGAAATGCATATACGTTGGGCTGAAAAGATGCCCCTCCCCCTCCCTAGAGGGTGATGAATGAAAATGTAAAGGTCTTTTGGGTACGGAGCTCCTTTTTGTACAATTGTTATTTACAGAGACGAAGATGGATTCATATATTCCGACTGAAAACCTCATTATGGGGCTTTGCGAAAACTTATTTTATATAAATTAAATCGTCGACCTATATTTTTGAATTAAATTTTCCATTAAAAAAAAAGTCCCACACAGAACACGATCTCTGTAGGTATTTATAAGTATGTTGTGGGCCTTTTAAAGTTACGTTTCGTGGCTTTTCAAAAGCGAAATTGCGCTCTCCTTTGATTTGGGGAAATAGTTTTTTTCCAAATCCGAGGACGACTCGTACCTACTTGTGTTTTCTGTTGCAATTTTTTTTTTAAAATCAAAAACTTCAAAGACAATTTTGTATGATGATGCTTTTTTGAAGTATGACTGCATTACATGGTCCGCTTGACAGACATTTTATTAGAACAGTTTCTATATAGAATCTTTTATATTATAATTAAGCTTTCACGTAATATAATATTTTGTTATAGTGAATAGCGGTACATTTTGTAAGCAATTTAAATTACACTTTGATATAATATAGTTCCCATTTTTTTACATTATTCATTTGGTTATGATAGTCATTTTATATTTGAAATACTCACTTGACAAGCACATTGAGTTCTGCAATCCAAATTGAAAGTCTCGCCGTGCTCGTACGTCCTATTGTAAACTATACAAGGCACCCCAGATGATTCTAGAATTTTTTTAAAATTTATAAAACATCAAATCAGTGAGTTAGTTGTTTACCTCTACAAATCCCATCGGTATCTCCATGCCTGAATCTACAAATCAATCCACGTTGTAGATCGCAAGGACTGTCCTCGGTGCAAGGTTCCCCTAGTTGTCTCGGACAGGGTCCGCAATCGGTGCACTCGCCCGCCGAAGGTGGACAACTGCATGGGTTGGGACATGGGTAGATCGTGTCATCCTGTAAAGAAATTGTTCTTTACATAATGTATTATTATTGAATTATCAGGATTCAAGATTTGTTACAGACAATATTGTATTTGATGTGAATGTGAGTAGAGCCATCTATTGAGTCTATGGAATAGCCAAATGAGATGTATTTGTTGGATGAAGAATAGCTTGGCAAAGTTACTTTTCAAAATTATTATTGAGCTGAACGAAGAGAGAAAGAGGGAGGAAATGCTTTCCACTCTTTTTCCAAGAGCCGGGTAAAGACAAAAATTAAAATGTAGAAAATTAAGAAATATAGATAAACAATTTGAAAAAAATTAATAGATAAGTAGAAAAATTATATTTGCCATTCCAGGCTCTCAAATTTTCTAAAGATTTAGAGTAAAACTAAATTCATGGACAGAATTTGAAACAAACAATCAAGAGCCAGGAGTAGAAAAAAATTGACACAGAGAAATTGAGAATAGGAAGAAATCTAAGAAAAATTGAGGACAATTTATAAATAAATGGAGAGAGTGAGGAAAACCACCTATTCAAAATATTATTTCCTAAAATCTTAACTTTTTAAAAAAAACGTTTACTGAATAAAACTAAATGTTGCAACCATGTCTGCGCCATCAAGTTTAGGATTGAACAAGCGCGCCACAGAAAACGAAGGTACCGAAACCGAAGAGGATACAAGAGAATACGCAATTAGACTTGAGAACAAGCTGGGGCTGTTCCTTTAGACGCGTGTCTGTAATTATTCATTATTCAATTTTCATCTCTATTTTGCATTAAAATTGATTGTTCAATCCACTTTGTTATTAGTGAGTGTGTAAGGAGCGTTCACAGGTTAGTGTATTAAATGTTATTTTGTTTTTGAGAGTTCAATTTATGCAAGTTCCTATTACACACATCAAAATAGTCTAGGGAACAAGCTGCAACTGAATACATTTATAAATTGAACAAAATATACTTTTAATAGTTATTTACCTAACAAATGCGGAAAGTGATACTTTACCGCACGCAACGGCAGTAAAGGCACTTTCCGCATGTGTTAGGTACAAAATTTTACCTATGAACATCTACATCTTCAAAAAAGGCATTGATAAAATTAATTAATGAATCAGATTAATTAATGAAATTAGATAAGATTTAGAAATGATCAAAAATCCATTTTCTGAAAAAAAGAGGATTTTTAATTATAAATATCAAATTCTACTTTACCGCACACTATGCGGGAAAGTGCACTTTACCGCACACTTTGTGTTCTACTTTACCGCATACTATGCTGTAAAATTAACTTTACCGCACACTATGCGGTAAAGTGCACTTTACCGCATAGTGTGCGGTAAAGTGATACTTTCCATTTGCAAATACGTGCGGTAAAGTACACTTTACCGCACGCTCGTAGGTAAAAGATTTTTAAATTTTGTTAAAGCCTGTGCTGGAAAAGCAGGTATGATAAATTTTACAAGATTTGTTCAACAAATACCCATATGGTATCTTTTAATAAAAAGTTATTCTGTCTAAAAATTAAGACGAATATTTCTTGTTCCCTAGATTTTTTTGATGAGTGTATTTTGTTCATTTTTATGTATTTTTTGTTTGTTCATAAATTTTTTTTATAACATGTGCATTGTTCATGTATTTAACAAAAATCGTTTCATATTGTAAACAACACAGATAAAGAAGTAAATTATAACCTAACAAATTATGTGCTGTCTTTTTGTGCTGAGATTTTGATTTTGTGGATTTAGAGCGTGCATTAAGGTCTTGTTGAATTTACTAACATTTTCCTACCCTGACGAGAGAATATCCTAGCAAATTGAAATAATCAATCTAGAGATATTGGCTCAAAAACATTTATAGCTGAGTAGCTTCCCGTATGGGACCTCAGTACTTGCTGGGAAACTGGCTAACTAAAAAAAAAACTCTTCAGTATTGAATATAGGTAGTGTTGATTGAATGTAGTGTGTGTAATTGAAATTTTAGCACAAGAACAGGAGGGGTACCTAGTTTCAACTTTTATTGAACATTTATTGACTCACAATTATTATTAAAATGACACAGTATGTTTCGATTTTTGAGGAATGTTAGATCGAGGGTTTCTCTGCCGTGCTCTTTCCCCTCGTTAGTTCCAGGATGAGAACGGTACGATTTACTTTAATAAAGTAGACGTTTCACAAGTTTCACGTTTCTTCTACATATCACAACTTCCCTTAAATTTTCCAAATATTTGCTATGTCGGGCGCATGTCCAGTAAGTAAAATTGAGTAAGTTTCCACAAGGTAGGTCCTATTTGTTTTTCATTTCGTTTTTCAGAATATTTGTTGTTTAAAAGGTAATAAAAATTCTCATCGTTCAATCTTACTGAACGAACCCGGGTATGTTATACTACAAGAGGATGGAGGAATTCTGGAGAAATTAAGTTTTTCTAGTCCAGGCTCTTGAGACGGAGATAAAAAATAGAGGGAAGAAATTAGAGAAAAATATGACAGACAATTAGAAATATAATTTTTCTATTCCAGGCTCTTGAATTTAGAGAAATTTGAAAACCAACAAACATTTAAGAGCTACAAAAATTGAAAAATTCACTGCTTTCTTTAAATGTGGAAAGTTTAAGCTCTAATAATTTCAGAGACCAATTGAAAACTTACAAAATAAATAGAGAGAATTGTGAAAAACCTTTAGAGAAATCTTTATCAGCGTTTTCCAATCGACTGTACGTTTATTCATTGCAGTCTACAAGCCAAAAATCCTGGCATGAAAAATAAATTACCCAATAAGAGGTGATTAAAATAGATAAAAATCACTCACGGTCAAAATCAGACTAGAATAATTTTATTTTTAATGGGCCACTTCATTTTCAGTCGAGTAGCAGTTAAAATTTAATGGACGAATTAATTGAAATTTGTGATACTCGAAACGCAAATGAACCTAATAGAGGTTCCTTCTTGGAAATTCTCACAGGATTGTCTTCGTGTCTCTTGTATCCACTCCAAACATTTCTTGTCATTTCCCCCAGGGAAATCGACAGTGGAAAAGGAAATACTCTAAAATTAACAAGTAAACTTTTAGGTAAAAGTAATTCAATAAGGTTTTTTGCTTCAAAATAATAATTAAGCTCGTATCACCTTTAAGATTTCATTAAAGGTACCTACTTCATTTTCATATAAACACCTATATGGTTAAAACACTATAAATTAATGAAGAGAAACTTTCCAAGCCACTATCCGGATGAGAAAATTGATACTTTGTATCTTGATTAGCTTCAGAGGAAATTTAACGTTTACCTAGGCTAATTTGAAAAATCAATTTTCATCAGAGAGCCTTGCATAACTACTAAGAATTTAATCAAGCAATATAATTTTATACCAACTAAAAAGGCCGTTAATTGATGTTCTTGCAGGCATTCTTTTTAGGCAAATTAATTGAGTTGAATAAAGCGATTTTGAATGAAACGAAAGTGTGATGGTAAGCGAAATATTTAAAGTTTTCCATAGATTAAGTTTTAAAAAGCCCTGGGGAAAGTTCCACAACTTCAATACTATTAATTATCAGCTCCATTGCACGTGGCTCTTCGTAAAGTTTCGGGACCCATGATTAAAAAGTTTCAATTAATTTTTTGATCGAGACCCCCAGAGGCTTGTAAAGGGACAACTGGATGCTGACTTTTGCGAATACGTATAGAAATATTTTATAATGGAAAAATGGGATTTTTAATGATGAATCCTGCGGGTTTTTAGTAATATTTTTATAATCTCCGTTTGATTTTTGAAATAAATGATTGGTTATTTTGTTTTTCGTTACATAGGTTTTTCGAGTAAAATTGGTGTATTGAACATGGGAATTTTTTTGGAAATAACTGCAAATATTAAATCGCTCAATTGGTTTCGGATGAGGCCCGAGTTGAAACTGAGTTCTTAGATGTTCTTTCATATTTCTCAAATTCTGCTTCTCAAGAGCATCGAATAGAAACTTCAATTTTTCTTAAATTTCCTCTAATTTTCAATTTCTCTATGTCAATTTTTGTCTATTCTCGGCTCTTGATTGTTTGTGTGTTTCAAATTCTATTCATGAATTTAGTTTCCTCCTTGGTCTCAATGATCTTTTGGGTGCCCCAAATTCCATACACTAAATTATTCTGAGATTTGAAGCTATGGAAAGAGACACTCAGAAAAATTGATAAATTACCCCAAATTGCTTAACGCGATTTTATTTCTGAAATTATAAGTACAAATGAGCTAAAATTTCCAGGGATTGTAGTCCTCTATTAGGATAAAAATTGCTGAAAATTTCAGCTTTCTATCTCTAATAGTGTCACAACTGCCCGCTTTACTGGGGTGACATGGGGGGTTTGTAGCTTTGGGGGTTGATGGAGAGAAACTCGCTCAGGTTATATAAAAATATAGATATATATTTTCCCAAATATGCCCTTACATGTACGCTAATCCTATAAGATGCATGACCCATCGAACACTGGGGTCCTTATAGGGAGCCACACGTCAACGCTGCTTGGGGGACTGTCGATTAGTTATCGTCACCCTTATGCCTTGTCCAGAGGGGCTTTCGCAACGAGAGGTAATTGCACTAGACAACGATAAGGTTGAAGATACCCAGAGGGGCTTTCCCAACGAGAGGTATTTGCACTGGGGAGACTTAATTCCAGAGGGGCTTTCCCAACGAGAGGTAGTTGCACTGGTTTAAGTCTGCCTTTGCTGCGGTTTGCAGCGCAATTTATATCCGTTTATTGCTGAATTGCAATAAACATCCGATCGAATCGGCAATTAAATTAATAAAGTCGCATACCGGGTCCTCCTTTCCTAAGCAGCTAGTTGACAATATGTATAATTTTTCTGCTCTATAACTTGAATCTGAATAACATGGTCAGCTTCATCAAAAAGAGTAAATTCTATTGGTAATTGTCGTAGAATACCTATTCATACTTTATCCATTATACCCTATTGATTTAGGACGCGAATTTTCTAACTTTCACAAACTAATAATTATAGTCACGTCTGGCACAAAATTATTCGATTGCCAGTCACAAACCCACTTTACATACAAAATCATCCCCTTGTTTCAAGTGCCCGATAATAAAACTTCCACCTGCTTGCCAATATAAACGTCAAACTTGGGAAATTAAAAATTAAACTTTTCTCTCTCAGTCTTGTTCGAAGGCCAAATATTCAATTCGGAAACAATATAAAGCCGAATTTTATTTTATTTCGATTTTGGGCAAAATGTAGCGCACAGATCTTTTTATTTTTATTTTTGAGGTTTAAGCTTAAAAAGTATATTTTCTAGACTGGGGGGATTTGAAAAATATAAAAATACCCTATTGTACTGGGATGGGATTTAAAAAGAAAAAGCTTGCGAGTTGTTAACATACAAATTAAGCGGATTTTTGAAATAATTTTTCGTGAAATTGTTTATCCTACTTCTTTTTTGAAGTCATACAATCAAGAATAATTTTCATTTTCCGGAGAACAATAGACAGAACGCAATTTCAAAAGGGAAACTGTTTAAAGTAAAAGGCATTTCAGGTTATTTCCTTCTGCGACAAAGGAAAAGATAAATTGTATTAGATTAACGTTTTTTTTTTTTTTTTTGAATGAAATGGACTCGATTATTATCCATTCAAACATCGTTTCTTAAAAAGAACAGTCAGCTTTCCATTAAAGACTAAAGCTGCCCGACTAAGCCTCCTTGAGAGCTTTACTTCAAGTGCATTCCGTTCTGTATAATGCTACTCTAGTGCTACTTCCAACGATGTCTTAATGCGGCATTTGAAAAGTTTGGAATTACATTCATAATTACAAACTTCTCAGAGAACGGAGGAATAGGATAAGTCCAAAACAAAACATTACTTTTTCACTTCTTGAAAGTATTTAGGAGAGAAAAATTTAGTCTAAAATTCTCGATACATTGAGATTTAAAGTGTTTCTTAAGCATCTCCCATTCGATACAAAATCCGTTCGAATTTTCAATTTTACTTACGTTGGCTTCGTAAACAATCGGATCTCGTATGAGAACTTCTCTTTTCCTATGCCCGACGCCCGAAGCTATCGGAACGACGAGAAATCCTAAGAGAATGATGGATCCGCACACCATTACGACGACTATCTGAAAATAGAAAGAAAAAAAATAGCTCTAGAGATATGTTTGCACTATTTAATTTCCCAGCTCTCACTCGAAATCAAGCCAGAATGTTTGCTCCAAATAGTAATTTAAACTGGTTTGAGGGAACCAAACAATTAATTCGATCTAGAGTTAGAGTGGCCATACATAATAGTTTTGTTATTGGGTGGACTACTCAAAACTTAATAAATCAGAAACTTCAAATTTTCTCCCGGCTATTATTCGTCAAATAATAAAACTTTTCTCGAACTCCAACCGACGAGAAATCGAATTAAAAGAAAATTTATCGACGGAGAACTTTGGCCGATAGATTTGTTTTGGAGTGTATGTACTTTGGTTTTGAAGATCAAAACATGAAAAATGTTTAATAAATGTGACCTCTTCTAAATTCTAGTAGAAGTAGGATCTTGGTTCAAATAGTTCGCAAACTCCTTGAGTTTGAAAACATTTTTGAATGGACGTCAAAAGAATTGGAAAAATGAAACATGGGTGCCAACTGTTGGGTAGTTACTACTGCATTCCGCTTCAGCTCTATTGTCCATTTTGCCTTTAAGGCTCCAAATAGTTACCAGCAAGTTTATCTCAAAATTATTTAACCAGGCCTAAATATACCTGAAAACCCTTAAGACTTTTTTCGTTTTTCATGAAAAAGAAAAGTAATTTACATAATTCATATTCACACTACAACCCAGGGTTAGGTTCACAATTTGCTAGGATACGATGGAAAATTATAATTTTAAATTTCAATATTGCATCCTCGTGAATTTTGATTTTACACGAGAAATTCGATTGATCGAATCGGGAAATGTAAGCGGCCCGAATATGGAATTGCAAAACAGGCTTAACGAACTGTAACTGAATTGATTCATTGATTTGAAAAAAAATATGTACCGATTATCTTTTGACGGTAGTTTTCTTATTATTCGGAAGATTTGTTCATACAATTTAGTGGAGCCCTTTTTGAACTACACCAAAAACCACCTCAAGTATCACTGAGTAGGCAAACTATAGACGGTTTGGTTCTTGGATATCAAAAATTTGTTACACTACAAGAATTCTGTAAAGTAAAATCAACTGTAGCGCCCTATCGTTTTTTTCTTTTCTTGCCTTAACGGTTATCTCGGGCGCCACCCTCAGGATTATTGTGGTTGAGGGCCCACGTGCACCAGGTAGCTTATTACAGTGGAGATCAGGGGTCGAATCAGATGCTAGAAGTGTAATCCTCCAGAAATCTCCAAAAGAAGACACATGAAATCACGATTAAGTTCTGGTATTTATTGCTATAAATGTATGTCAATAAAGCAATTCCTATAGTAAAATATTACATTCCTTGAGCAGAGTGAAAAGAGTGAATGAAGCGGGCGTGCAATGGAGAGAGTGAAAATGTGTATGTGTGCATGCGTGTAGATTAATGATAACTGAAAATAAGAAGCGGTCAAGCAAGCGGTGAGCAACAGAAAATAAGAAGCAGTCATGCAATACAGAAGCGGTTAGATCTTAACGGTTTTAACTGTTTCGAATACTGATGTACCCGTTTCACACTTTATGTAAGACATTTCGGATACAGACATGAATTTACTTAGTTGATCAATACGGTAACCTTAAATCGGTTAGAATCAACCGCAACGGCGGTGGAAATAAAGCCCTGTCGGTACACATGAACCGTGACAGTATAAATAATATCTAAGAGAAAACTATCCGTACACATGAACCGTGACAGTTTATAGAACTTTACACTATGTCGTGACACTAAAACATGAACCAATAGATGAAGAGAAACTGTCCGTACACGTAAACCGTGACAGCTATAGAACTTTAAACTTTGTGAAAATAAATGTCTTAGCGAAAACTATCCGTACACATAAACCGTGATAGTTTATAGAACTTAACTCTGTCCGTCCAAGTGAACCGTGACAGTAAAAACAAAAATATAATTTACCAACCAAGTATTAATGAAAAATAACTTAATCGCGTAGCGGTGAAACAGGTACCAGTCGGTATTTCGGAGAGAAGGCCTACCTCGGTATTCGGTGGAAGTCGGAAGCATCTACTTAGTTGGTGGACTCGGGCCGGACTGACTTAACCCAACGCCGTTCGTTTGTAAGGAAAACGCTCGACGATGAAAGGGTAAGCTTCATGGGAGAAAATACCATGGTGCGCGCTTCGGCTACCATAGGTCCAAAGCCACCGGTGCAGCCTCGAGCGTGCGACCAGCCAAACTGCTATTTGCACCAAGGTCACGCGTAAAATAATATATTTAGAAATGAATAATATTTCGGAGAAATTCAAGAAAGCCGCGCTTCTTCTTAAAATCAAAGAAAAGTTGTGTGGCTTTAGTTACACGAATAATTAAAAATACGATAATCAGGTAAAATCATTACCGCGGGATTGACCAAAAATTACCTAGAGCAAATAGTTGAATTAAAGTCAATTAATCAATTAAATTGAAGTCAGAGGCGCGGCGCACACATTTTCGGAAAAAATCTGGTAACTCCGTTACACAACTATTGTATTTCGTAACACACCAAAATCCAACCAGTTTTTATCATGTTTCGACGCTACATAACTCTTTCAAGAAGACGCTTCCTTTATGACTAGGGCGAGATTAAAAATAAATTCGATGGAAAGATTAAGGGGGCTTCTGGCTCAACATTTTCCTAGTAGAGAGTATCGCTTAGTAAGCGCCATTTGTCTCAATAAAACCTAAAGCCTTGTCTCAGTAGCGCACCTGCCAGGCTTTTTTAAATAAAAATACCCTTGTCCGTAGATGTTATTTATAAAAATACAACGACTCCATTTGATAAAAAGGTCGGCGGTAAAACGAACGTCATTTCCTCAGGGATTTGACACACACAAAAAAGGGACCTTTTTCACCATGAATTCTTCTCATATTTCTTTCTTGGGGACATAAACCTTGTTTACCTGGAAACTCTTGCAACGTTGCCACGGATTCTCATTAATCTCGAAACGTAAATTACATATTAAACGCAGTTAAGGAGCGAACACGTGAAGGGGGAAATATAAACCCGCCTCAAATGCATTAGCATTAACGAAATACAAACTTACTTTGCCGAGTAACGCGCCCTTGAGGAAGTTAATATCGGAGGGCCTCGTGTCGTGAGTTTATGCAATTACTTTGAATATTCAATTTTGGGCGCATGCATTATACGATATATACATGGAGTTCGGTTTGTGTTTAAATCTAAATAATAGGACTTAGATTTTTTTAAAATTATAGATGTGTTGCAATCAAAATCAATTCACAAGATACAAGTAAGAAATTGAATTCAATCAATATACATTGTCGGTCGCCCTCAACAATCAATCCTGCGGTGCTTTTAGGCGTAAATTTTGACATTGACTGAGCTCTTTGTCTTGAAACAGCATTAATGGAGCAGAAAAGCCTTCCTTATCGCTTGCATATATTACACCAGGCTTGTGTAACGGGTTTATTCTGTCAAGAAGGGGCACGACGAAGACAACATTTGTAAATCAATCAGTGAATTTGCTCTATTGAATAGATTTACTGGAGTTACATATTTCAACTGTTAGAAGATTACATTGCAACTACTATTGAGAATTTTTGTATTAAAGCCGCAAGGGAAGCGAAAATAAATTCAGATCGAGCCCCCGAAAGATTTGTCAATAGAGTGAACGTGCAACAAAGTGACAATTTGAATCGGAATTCGATGCCCTTGCGACACGAGGGGGCGGAAGCAAGGAAATACATCTCGATTAAACTTAGAGGCGCTTTTCGCCATCTGGTCCTCCAATTACGATCATGTCCTTCGGGGGTTTGACTGCGTTCTACAACTTCGGGCGAATAAAAAGTTTACGGTTTTAAGGCAATTAAAAATCCAATTTTCGTAAATAGGAACGTGCACGCGCCGCAATGGGAAGGTAAATTTTCCATCAGGTTAATAAAGTTTTCATAAAGCAAAACCGAATCGATATTTGGTGCAATCGAAATTATTCAGGTCAAGATTTGAAGTATAAGTTGGCTTTGGTTTTGTTCACAGATGCACAACTTGTTCGAATACCTATTGAGCATCAGGATATTTTTTTTCTTATATTGATTCATAATTGCGTCATTGTTGATTGTGAGGAGCGACTCATAAATGCCCTAATTCAGTTTTTACATTTCCAGCGATTTAATGCTCAATTTGTACACAATCTGGGTGGACGTGATTGTCGGTTTTTCAAAAAACCAAAATTTCGAATTGGAAGTTTCTTTTTCCTACAATTACAATCGAACCAAAACTAATAATCCTCTAACCCAGAATGAGTTTATCGAAAAAAAATTGGGTATTTGTTGAACAACATGTTACAATACTCAATTTAAAATTTCAAATATTCAATCGAATGCCTTCAAACCACATACGAACTGTAAGAAATTAAAATCCCATCCAGACGTGGCGCTGTTCCTGTTGCAACGCGTACTCTCATACATTTTGCATCAGATTTGAATAGAGACGCCATAAAACTGTACGTTCCGATATGAAAGCCAGAGGGGAGTCTTTTGGAAAGTTTATTGCTTCTGCGGTTTCTGATGGCAAAGTGTGGAGTTTATGGACGAATCGTTAGGGCAGATAAATTTTCAACGAAACACAAGCAGATTTTGAAAAGTTCGATCATCTATTGTTATAAAAAGTGACATTACGCTTCATGCCTTGGCCTCTATTGATTTTATGTTTAACAAACTAGTATTATAGATAACTTTGACGGCACGAGGATTGTCCTCACTCTGTAAGCGAAAGATTCCTTGCACGAAGGCGGCCAAAGGCCGCCTGTCTGGGCCCGTTGTGCGCCCACTTAAAGTTAATCCAGCCCCGCGATTCTTGCGAATGCACAAAACTTACCTGACCTGACCTGATGTTTCCTATGTTCCCTGGATCAATCGTATAGCTGCCAAGGTACACGGTTCTAATCCGAGTAATTCCTGGACATTCGGCAAGGACATAGATATAGGTTTCCTCATCCTCCAG